TAATAAATTTCTCCTTACTGTGCTTTTACTGTTCTTCATCTCTAAAGATTGGAGGGTCCACATCTTTCTTTGTGTATGTAGCAGTAGCACTAGCATTCAGACTTTCTCAGCCACATTGTCTGTTTGTTGATGTCCCTTCTTTACTAAGAGCAACCAGACTCAAATATGGTATCCCCGTGGTTTTGATCAAGAATGGGTTGATTTTTCTTTATCAGTTTATCTGTTTAACGGTCCATTTGGGGCAGGGGGCTCTTTGGCTATACAAAAATGTCAGGTTTGTGATTTCACAAAGTAGGTTACAGCTATTCCTGGATTTCCTTTCTAAGCCCACAGTTCTTTAAAAATAGATATACAATAGAGTTTCTGCTCATCTTTAGATTTTTCTCTTTTCATTACTTATCTTTGAATCTCCTTTGCTCCTATGATCTTTCTTCTTAAGAATTGTTCTCTTTTACTTTAGCAAATCGCTCTTGATTTTTAGGTGTGTTACCTCGCCTTACTGGTAAATTTAGAAGTAGGACAGTTTTTTGTTTTTACTTAACATCCTTTTCCACCCTGCCATTTTGTCCTCACTCAGTAGGGTTTCTATATATCTGCACATAACTTTGTCAGAGTTGATCCTGTGTTAAGCTAAACTCCCTCAGCGGTAACTGATGATAAGGTGGGTCAGCATACACATAAACAGGTATTACATAGAAGTATGGACTCAGGAGGAATCCTTCCAAATAATCTAGTGTAACTCAGCCCCAGTATACAGATGATGGACCTCAGGCCCGAAGTTGCATAGCTTGTTTGTGAATAATTGCAGCTAAAATGCTGACCCAGGATCTTCATTGAGTGTTTCTTCCACCCATACTATGCTGCCTTGCCATTCAGCTAAACAGTAGCATAGTTAGACCTGAACCTGGGTACTGTGACTCACTTTCCAAAACTTACTGTGTTGTACTATACCACCTTTGTCCCTGTATTCTACTCAGACTATGAGGTAGAATGTGACTCTCAGCTCACACACCCTGAGAAAGTTATCCTTCCTAGACTTGGTTTCTTCATTTGTAAACTGGAGTCCAGCCTTGATAAAGAATCCTAGCCTAGACAAACAATCCACGGGGATTATTCCAACTAGATGGCAGTGATTTTTGTGCTCATTTCAGTGGGCTCTGCTACCATCTTTTGAAAATGCCTTACTGAATGCTTTTTTAAGGCATTTTGTAATGCCTTAGAAAGTGCTTTGCTACTTTGTGTACCTCTGAGAAGAGAAGCTTGTGTAACTGGAATGTGCCTGCCTTCCCCTCCCCCCCCCACCATCATCTGATAATTTAGTTGCACAATTTTCATCATAAAGTGCAGGGCAGGCCAAGAACCTTCAAAGTACTTAGAAAAACAAAATTATAGGATGTACCCAGTACTGAAGAGTGCCCATTTTGCTTGAACTTAGGGAATTAGCTCCACTTCTTGCCTATTCCCATTCTTTGCAATCTTAGTGCTCAAGTGTTTACCTCACCTTTTAATACTATTACTGGAATAAAGTAGAGAAGCCTTTCTTTCCTAAAACAGCTGCTCAAATGAGGTTGTTTGGACACTACATTCTAGGTAATTTTGTGTGCTTCTTTTTGATGATTCATTATCTTCTCTAACCATTGTTAGGTGGAGTCAATACAGATTCGAATAATGTATGTATAACAAAGCACCCAAGTTCCATGAGGTTTAGGCTCGTAATCAGTAAGGTTTTATGAAAAGAAATAATAGATTATTAGATTTCAAAAAGGCAATAGGATTTTTGAGAGATGGAGGCACATATTTGTTTCTTTTACTGATGAAAAGTTAAGTGGCTTGCCTAAAGTTGCATGGTGTTACTGTTAGTTGATTAAAAGGCTGAGTCCAGAATCTAGGTCTCCCTAGTCCTAGTCCACTGTTTTTCTACTAAAACCATTCTGATGCAGCCATTCTGAAGAGGATTTATTCATTAGCAAAGTCAAACTGCCACAAGTTGGTAACAAATATGATGTTACCAGTACCAAGAATTCACCAAGCATGTGATTAAGGATGATCCACCAGCTGTATTTATTTAGTGACTTTGTGGCAACATTTATTTGTACCCAGCTCCAGCATAGCTTCTGGATGCTCTGAATGGTTTTATTTCTATTTATGTGTTTGTGTGCATGTCTGGGTGTGTGTTCTTGACCCTGAGCACTGTCAGTGTTCTGTATCCTCCATTGTTTCTAATCACATACTGTAGAAGACACCTAGGGACAGAGGTGAATAGGGGAAAAAAATTCAGTTTCTTACTGCCTGATAAGTCGTGCTTGAAATTGGCAGTGCTGTAAGAAAACTGAGAGGGCAAAGTGCCTATTGTTTGCCCTCCCTTGCTGTGGCTGAAGTGAGGAAGAGCTAGTCATGTATAAGCAGAGTTTTCTTATGGCCCCAGGTGAAACATTCATGTAGGAAGAATGTATCGATCACCTCTTTTTATGTCAGGTACAGTCCTGGTGTATATTGCTGAACAGAAGAACTGAGTCCTGTCCTCCTTGAGCTCTTGATTTAGCAGGGGTGGCTGCATAGATTGTATACCACTAAGCAAACAAATATATCAAGAAAAATGGTGAGAAGTTCTGTGAAAAAAAGGCCAGAACTGTGACAAGGAATAATGAGGATGGGGGCCTTCTTTCTTTAGTGGTCTGGGAAGGCTCTGGAGGAGTGACATTTAAACTAAAACCTGAAGGAGCGAGCCCTATCAAGAGCCTAGGTAGTAGACTGAGCATTGAGCATTGTAGGCAGAGGGAGCAACTCTGAAGGCCATTAAAGTGGAAAAATAAAGTTTGGGGCTATTTTGGGAACTGAAAAATGGAGGTGAGGGAAGGGGAGAGAGACATGAGATGGGGATGGAAAGGCAGGCAAGGACCAGGTCATCAGTAATTAGTAGACTTGTCTCTTGTTAAATTAGTCCCTTGTTAGATAATTTGTTTCTTATTTGAGATTAGTATGTTATTCTGTCTCTTAAAGATAGATGGATTTTAGTTTGATTATCCCAATCGTGAGTAACTCAGAGGGACTATCAGAGAAGCATGTTCCCGATCTTGCTTCTTTAGGAAACTGCTGGTGTTCCCTGGGCTTCAGCAGCTGCAACTACCTTAGCATTCTAATGGTCACAGAACACCACTGCTCTGGCTCAGCCCCAACTTGGAGAACACCTGGACCTTTGTCCCCTCCCAATCCTCCAATCGACTTTGGAATATCTGTGATTGCATCTCAGACATTCCCCCACTGCTGGGTGGCATCCACTGTCATGCTCTTTCCCTTGTAAGTACCCAGTTCCCTGTTGAACACCTTGGTGTGAGCCAAGTAATTCACTGCTTATGCCACAGTTGGCCTTTCCTACTGCTGGTTCGTGTCTTCTCATAGGCAGTATCTCTCTTGATCCTAATCTGTGTTCCAGAGTTCTCCAATAGCTTTCTGGCTAAAGTAGAATACTTCACTTATGTAATCAGTTCACAAGGGAGTGTTGACTCTATGCTTCCAGTTTGTTATGGATACTTGGGTGCTACAAAGCCCTTGCTTTTATATTAGTCCCTTTTCTTTAAACTCAGTTTGAGTGGAGGTTGGGAAAGGGGGCTGGGATAGAAAATAATCTGAGGAAACACTCCTGGCTCTGCATTTAGAATCTTCCCTCTCCCTTTGGCGTCCATTTAGCCTTTTTCCTCCTGCATGCCTTGCTTAGAGAGCCTTTTTTCTAGAGAGTGTATTTATTAGACTTCCATGCCCCTATCTTCACACTCCATTTTCTTCCTTCTCACACTGAAAGACAGGTCTGAGCCTGAGGGTCACACAGCTCTCCAGCTGGGATTCTGGCCCTTACCCAAAAGCCTGTGGCCACATGTGTTTTCGAATTCATAATTTTTTGATTTTAGAATGGACATGGGGCATGTTATAATACATAGCACCCAGTAATTAAGTAGTATTTCTATAGTGTAACATATGAATGTTCATATTGGATGGGATAAACAAAGACTGTAAGTATTCTCATGTCAATTAAGGTGTTACCTCTCAGAGAATTTGCCCCAAACTTAGAAAAAGCTTTCAGTTTTTAGACTGTGTTTTGGATTTTGGAATTGTAGATGAGGGATTATGATCCTGTATCCTGGTACATGTATACAAAAACATGGTAGTTAGGATTTCCAGGCTAAATCTAAAGGTATAATAAAAACTCATTTAAATAGAAATATTTTCATCACTCTCCTGCCAATTAATCCATTAGAGTTAATACAACTTCTGTCCTTCCTCCATGACCAGAGAGGTTATCATGAATGAAGTTGATGGTATGGAAGAGGATCTATTGGTTCAGCATAAATTCTCCGTCCCAGAACAGGTACACCATCTGGGATGGACAGATGGACATGCCACAGGGTGGACAGCAGGAACCTACAGCAGCTGCTGTTCAGAGAGAAGATTAGATATTCTCAGAATTCCCTGCAACTTGGCTGTGACTTGCATTGTAGATACTTGGCGCATGACCTCTGCTCCCTGAGGTAACTCATGCAGCCTGAGGAATAAAATACTCTTTTAGGCCAAAGCTTCAGACCATCCTTAAAAACATCAACTACTACAGATGCTGGCCGCATAGAGGTCTCTCTGCACACTGACACTTTGGATTCCTTATGGCCCTTTTAATCTTTCTTTCCTAGTATAGAGTGTTAGAGTTCAAATGACAATGGATGCATATCTTCTATCTATAAGTGTGTTTTTACACATACAGTGTAGTAAAAGGAGCATAAAAATATATAAGCAGAAAATCAAGTTTGTGCTGATCAAGTAAACCATTTCTTCTATTATTCTTGATCCTTTCAACCAGAAAACATGTTATTTAATATTTCATTCTGGGACTTCTAATGCAGAAGTACTCAAAGTGGAAGGTGAAATTGGGATGTTTTCAGTGTTCTTGGAATTCTTTGAATAGTAGTTTGAAAGTTTTCATTTTACTCTCTTCACCATTTTTTACGTTCTAGAAAATGAAGAAGTCAAGGAAACGACTTTACGAGAGCTTAAAATGCTTCGGACTCTCAAGCAGGAAAACATTGTGGAGCTGAAGGAAGCATTTCGTCGGAGGGGAAAGTTGTACTTGGTGTTTGAGTATGTTGAAAAAGTAAGTCATTAATTGCGAATGTGCAGATTTGCCTGATTCTTTTATTTAAGGCTGTTTCTGACATTAAGAAAGTACTGTTATCTAATATTGCTTATCAATGTACTCATAATCTGAGGACTTTAAAAATAAAACTGTTCATAATTATTAGAAGTTCTGATATATATTTAAGAATTTTGTACAATTAAACTGTGAGAGATGATCATAAGTTTAAAAAAAAATACTGATTTGGCTTCCGAAGTCTTAAACTCTGTGTTCAACAAGTAATTTTTAGGCTTGATTTAATTAAGTGTAAACAAGGCCTCTGAAGGAGACAGTGGTAAACTGACAGTAATGATACCATCATCACAGGCTGGAAGAGGCTGTGTAAGATACCACACTGAATGAGACCCAGGCTGGGGGATGAGTGGGCCCAGGAAGCAGCTTTTGTGAACTGCCAGTGCTTTGGCTTTATCTGAGGCTAGGAGCTGTGCCAGGAGGCCCTAGGTGAGGCTTGAAATGGTAGATGAGACCATGAGTCAGGAATTGCAAGAATGGGAAAAAGAAAGAAAAGCACACACTGTTTGAGCTATCTGTGCACTTGCCTTAGCGTGCCTTGAAAAATGGTCACCTTGTTAGTGACAATTTTAATAACACGACCTAAGGGCAAATATGTGTTACAGTAGTCAATAATATGTGCCTAGAAATTTCTTGGAGAGGGTCCTGGTACAGTGGCTCACACCTTTAATCCCAGCACTTTGGGAGGCTGAGGCAGGTGGATCGCTTGAGCCTCAGGAGTTCAAGAATAGCCTGAGCAAGATAGTGAAACCCTGTCTCTGAAAAAAAAAGAGAGAGAGAGAAATTTCTTGGGGAGCAGCTGACCTACAGCAGTTATTATGGTCAAGAATTTAAACAGATAAACACTTTAACAATTGTAGAAGAAACTAGAGCCAGGCAAACCTTTTAGCAGGTTTCCTTGGTGAGTAAATAGGTGGCTCCTACCAATTCCTATGCTACTGTCCAAAGAAGGTTGAAGCCGGAGAGGTTTATGTTTGCTGCAGATCTATACCCAGGTGCTTGCTATACCATAAATGACAGAGCATCAACATTGTCATAACCAAATGGAAAGTAGTATTACCAAGGTAACTGACTAGTAATGTGGCTTTGAATGCATTCAGCCTTTACAAGTTATTTTTTGAAATAAAAAAAAAATACATGTAATAATTTCATTACTAGAAAAACTGGGAAGATGCTAGAAGGTTCTTTGTAGTTTTAAACCACTGCTGTATGTTCCTTTTCCAGAATCTGTTTTAAGGTTCTTTCTGTGTGTCAATTTATACATTCCTCTAAGGTACCTTCCGTACCAAAATAAAACTAAAAGTTTGTTTTTAAAAGAAAGTTCTATTTAAAAAAAGAATTGCTATATTAGAATTCCAGGGGAAACCAGATGTCCTTTATTTTAAAAAATTGTTTTTAGAGATGGGGGTCTCATTATGTTGCCTAGGCTGGAGTGTAGTGGCTATTTGCAGGTATGATTATAGCACACTGCAGCCTCAAACTCCTGGGCTCAAGCAAATCTCCCACCTCAGCCTCCTGAGTTGCTAGGACTGCAGGTGTGCACCACCATGCCTGGCTGCTCTTTCTTTTTTCATTATCACAAATAATCATGCAGTTTACAGTTTTCACTACCAAGTAAGAAAATTTTGACATCTATTTTAGTTTATCTTTTTTATTTCTATTCTCATGGTGGTTGTTCATTAATAATAATAATTTAGTATAACAAATGGAGAAGTCACCTCTGTGTATCTGTTTCCTCACTGGGAGAGGCAATTTTGTGTGTCTGCAATCTCCCTGCTGGTAAATGGCTGAGCTGCTGCTAGAACTGTCTATCTGTCTGACAGTCAGGCCTAAGATTCTTCCTCCGACCCTGTGGTTCTTAGGTAGAACATGTCTGTCATACTTGCCACATAAGTGTCAGTGCCTTATAATTAACAGTAAGTCTCAGGAGAGCAAGGAGAAAGTGCTCTTTAAGGGGTAAGGGGCTGGTAACAGAGACCCAGGATTACAGAGGCGCTTAAACCTCTGTAATCCTGGGTCTCTGTGTATACTACCCTCACTTACAAATACAAAGGTAGGGCAGTACAGGACTAGTGTGGCAGCTCTGCTGCACCACACTGAGGTGTGACCCTTGTCCTAAAGGTCAGGATAGAGTTCCAGCTGTCACATCCCCTTGGCCAGGACATAGTTTCATGACCACGCTAGCTGCAAGGCAGAAGGGAAATGTACTCTTTGTTCTGGGCAGCTAGGCCTCCACTTGAAAATTATGTTCCTGAGGAGTAAGGGAAGACTGGTTGCTGGAGGACAATATCTGCCACTTAGGAATTTATAATGGAATATGAAACAAGAGATACAATTTGTTTTCTATATTACAAAGCCTTCCTATTCCACCTATGCATTTGGGACCGCCTATAAATTTGTTAGTTGAAAAAGGGAATTCAAATGGAGAAGCAAAAAATGATGCATACATACTTAAAATGTTTAATTGGAAATATAAATACTGTATGTATTCATTTACCACACTATAAAGGTAGGGTCAAGGGCTTTTGCATATTGCTCTTCTGAAGTTCTGATTGGTCTTTTTTACATACATCATACCTGTAATGCATCTTTAATGTAAAGCAGTTGCTCAAAAATATCTGCAAAGCAATCTCCATGCAGAATCCTTCAGTGGACATGCTTGTTCCCACCAGCACCCATCCCTTGCCAGTGTTTTGTAGTTGTCTCATATTTGATTAGATGGCAACAAGTTTAGTGGCTTCTCCTTTATTAAGCCTCTGTAAAGTGTTCAACTTTGTTTTCTTATCAACAACAACTCATTTTTATTTTTATTTTTTTTATTTTTTGAGACGGAGTTTCGCTCTTGTTACCCAGGCTGGAGTGCAATGGAGCGATCTCGGCTCACCGCAACCTCTGCCTCCTGGGTTCAGGCAATTCTCCTGCCTCAGCCTCCTGAGTAGCTGGGATTACAGGCACACGCCACCATGCCCAGCTAATTTTTGTATTTTTAGTAGAGATGGGGTTTCACCATGTTGACCAGGATGGTCTCGATCTCTTGACCTCGTGATCCACCTGCCTCGGCCTCCCAAAGTGCTGGGATTACAGGCTTGAGCCACCACGCCCGGCCAACAACTCTTTTTTAAACAAAAACATTATTTCATTGGTTTATATGGTATTTAATTATATTAAAATAATAAGTGCATCTATTGTAAATAGGCATGAGAGTAAATACAACTAAGTCTTTATAGATAATACAACTTGAATGGTGGGAACAAAATTGTGAGGCCAAATTAGAGCAATGAATTTCGAACTTTTTGATCTTATGGCCCCTTCACACTCCGAAAATTATTGGGAACCCTAAGAGCTTTTTATTTATTGTATTTTATCTATTAGTGTTTCTCATATTGGTCATGACTGAGCAATATAAAAATATTAGTTCATTTAAAAAAATAACAATAAACGTATTGCCTGTTAACATAGATAAGTTTGTATGTCAGTTATTCTTTAAAGTGAAAAATGGCATTCCACATAAAGCAGCTCATTCAGCTTGCATCTCAATCTTTCAAGTGCTTTTCCTCAGGGCAACCATTGTACAGATGGCGCATGTACACCAGGAGGGCTTTATGTGCAGTCTGCCATTTTATGCAGATTCCAAAAAAAGACACGTACTCAAGAATTGAAATTTAGTCAAAGTAATATTTTGTACTGCTTCATCAAGGATGTCCTTAACTAAAACTTCTGTTTTCTTTTTTAGAGGCAAGGTTTAATTGGATTAAAGAATCCAATGCCTTGATTCATGTTGAGGTGCCAGCAGTTTACCCATTGTTGCTCTGTACCATCAGTGTAAATGCCAACACAGTGAAAAAGGCAAATGTCATAGTCTATCTTATGATTATAGCTTTGACTTCATGGGCCCTCCGCAAGGTCTGAGATCCCACAGATCCACAGGTCACACTTTGAGAACTGCCGTCCTAGATGGTTGTCTACATACAATAAGCTACGTTTGTGCCATGGGCCTTGTACTTTACAGTGGGAAAGGAGAATGTTTTGTTAATCTGGAAATTCAGTAGAGACTGGCTAAGTGGAGTTTCCACATAATAAAAAATTTTGCGTTAGTTTTGTTTATAATGGTCTCTGACTCCAAATTAAGGTTTTGAGTATTGAATTTTATGGGGCCTGTGACTTTTTATTTCAACAGTATTTTCTGGTGGCCTGTTTGAATTTTTGTACTAAATGTATTTTAATTTTAGAGATTTTTTTTCCTTTTATGAATATTGCCCAGATCTTCCAGCAGTATTTTCAAAGCCAGATTTTTATCACAAGGTTCTATTGCAGAGATGTAGCACACTGTGTAAAAATGATTCTTTCCCCACTTTATATATTACAGTGTCATATTTCTACGTTGTATTGCTTTTCTCTTCAAATTATTCTAAAATAATGCCTGAAAACCTTAAAGGAGAGTGGAAAGTATACAGGGTTATTATTTGGGGTAGCATTAGGAAATAGTAGAAGTGGAATTTCTCATAAAAGGAAGCCCCAATTTTAATCCTGATTCAGCATGAAAAAGTTATATATAGAAAGCAAAACAATAAAAAAAATACATGCTCTGTATTGGATGAATTATTCTAGATGCTTTATAAAATTGTTAATGCATGATTTATGGGCCTACCCAATTTGGGAAATTAATGACTCTGTTTAATTTTTAGAATATGCTCGAATTGCTGGAAGAAATGCCCAATGGAGTTCCACCTGAGAAAGTGAAAAGCTACATCTATCAGCTAATCAAGGCTATTCACTGGTGCCATAAGAATGATATTGTCCATAGAGGTGAGTATGAGATTTTTTAAAATGGAAAATATTAAAACATCAAATAAAGTTGAGTATTTCAGACATTACTATCTTAAAGAATATTTTCATAAGCATTGACATTGCCATTTAAATTAAATATATTTTGAAAGTACAAGATATGAGAAGTCATTTGCTCTCCGAATCTCCTTTTCTGTCACCAAAAGAATTGATTACAAATTTATTTCGATATTGTGGTGAGATCTTTACAGTTGCATAACTATTATAGATCCATTCCCAACTGTAGAAATGTCTAGTGATATAAGAGAACTCAATAAGTGTGAACTTTGAAACTTTCTTGGGTAGAGGAGAAGAGCAAAATGTTGATCTCTATAGCCTTAATCCTGCACATTGACCAGGTAATGTGAAACAACTCCAAATCAGGCTTCATATAGGTGGTTCCTAAGTTCACTGGCTCCTATTGGTATTCATGTCTCATTCCTTCTTACACCAACAATCTCCAGTATGTATCTTCACGTCCTAATTTTCCCTACACGTTAGTGAAAAGTGCCCATTGTCTGCATTTGCAGGCATGATCACCCTGCAAAAAGGTCATAATTATACTCCCATAAACTGTTTTGTCCTTTACTGCCATGAAGTGGGTGGTTTATAGCAATGAATGGGAAATTACTTGCTCAGCATCATCTTTGACTCTATACCTATTATCTTCTGATAATCTCTCTTGCATTGCAGAGTTTTACAGTAGTGGGACACAAACTGATACAACAGTGACCCTAAATATTTATCAAAAAATATTGCAGTATCTACTTTTTGTCTTTGAATTAGCAGATAAAAGAATGCTCTATTTTAATTTACCTATACATAAACACACAAGGATATCACTTTAAAAATAGGCTCACTTGTTAGAATAGTTTAAAGATCATAGGAAGAATGCTAACATCTGTTATTCCTAGAAACAGTTTATATTTCTCTTGTATTTGACTCTCATAGCAGTTACCTTATCAAGGTTGTTGGTAGCATAGGTAGATCTCCACATCAGCTGGACATCTAGTGTTTAGGGTAATGATTCTAGTAACCGTCTATAATGTAGTTTGAGGATATTAATGAGGATCCAAATTAGGTGCATTTCCATCATGATGCATCATTTGGTTACGTGCATAGTGAATCAGTGGTTGCGAATTAATGGTAGAAACCATGATTTGAAATCTACAGATTTTACTACCTGTGCCCTTTCTCCATTTACACTTCTACCATATGACATAGATGATGGATATTCTACTCTAAAAATAAAATTGTGAGATGCCTCCCAAGGAGAGAATTCAACTGTATTTTCTGTGAATTTCTACTTAACTCCTACCATATCTTCAAAACATGGAAAAAATTAGAAATCTTAATTTGACTCATCCAGTATGGCTTCAGCATTAGACATTGATAATTGTGAACCATGTGGAAAAGCTAAAGAGATGTAAATATAGAAATTATGTAAGAAGAATGTAACAGAAAGCATATCTTGTATTTTTTCTCCAGTAAATATAATGCTAGCTATTTATTCTCATTTTAAAGTATCTTGTGAGTGTAAATATTTTCTATCTCCAAAAATTGGTATTATTAGTATTTTATGAAGTAATAATAGTTTTTTGAAATGTACTGGCCTAGATTTAATTATTCTTAAAATCCTTTCAGAGACCCAGTTAATCCTTTTAATAGTTAAAAAGGAAAAAATTATTTTTGAAATTGTGGCCTGCATGTTTCTGAAAAAGAAATTCATTGAAACTTTTATGTACTAGCGTAAAATGTGTTACTTTTCTTTTTGCTGTCACAGTTTTCTATTCAAATTACTCTAGATATTTCTAATTAGATGCTGTTGCAGTGATCTAACAGTGTCAATCAGGAGAACATAGAACGTTTTTACTAATTTTCTTTTTTTAATCTTGACACTCCAGATATAAAACCAGAAAATCTCTTAATCAGCCACAATGATGTCCTAAAACTGTGCGACTTTGGTAAGTTAAAAAGAAATTAAGTCCTGGTACTTAACAGAATTAATTTATTCTGTAACACATAGGTCGTTTTTAAAGGAATATTAAAAGTAATTAATATGTTTTGACTTAAATTGGTAGAGGAACATTCTTTTGAGTCATATGTTGAAAACTTGATTGCTGGAGGAGTACTGCTCTTTCTTTTCAGACTATTGTCTACTATTTTAAAAAAATTGTCATATGGTTTTTGTTTAATAAGAATTAGTTCAAAGCAAATACACACATAAGCCTAATACCTGATAACTTCACAAAATTTTTTTAATGTTGATAGTTGTTCCAGGTTTAATCATAAACACCAAAAGTATTCCTCTATAAATACATGTAAGTCTTTTGTATATGCAATAGTTATATATCTATAAAGTCAAAAGACATTTTTAGAGCATTTTGATTTGTTCCCTCTAAATGATCAGTGAATGGGATTAGGAAGGTATAGTATTTCAGCTCTTGATTGAATGTATAGGGAAATTTTTCTAGTTGTACTGTCTTCTAGTAGAAAATTGTCTATGTCTCCCATGTAGATAACTCTGTATTAATCTCAGTTAAACATTTAAATTAAAATAATTCAGAAAAAAATTTTAGATTGTATGTTAGGTTGGTTAGGTCATGGGTCACTTTTTAAAATTATAGTTTTGCCTAACCTGTATTCTGAAAAATAAACACTTGATTTTTTTAAATGTCTTTTTTCATATTTAATATTTAAATGTCAAATATTTAATAATTACACATTCATCTCCTATGCACTTTGTCCATTGTAGCAATTAGAAGCAATGTGTAGCTATTGTCACTTAATATTTTCAAAGGTTTTGAATATTATCAACCTGTTTGCCTGAGAAAAAATGTTTTATGGGAGCTAATTTTCTTCATACTTTATGATAAGGACTAGTATGTAAAAGAGTCTTGTTATATCCTAAATTTTTAAAGAATGTGCTTAGGATAAAGGAAATATTGAATACTAGATCTAAAAGATTTTGATTGTAGCATGTTTAGCATTTTCTTAGCATTATGATTTTCAGGAATAGCATCTGTTCTGATTTCCTGTCTGTAATTGTGATTACCACCCAGAACGGAGACTTAAGTTACTGAAAACATAAAGCAAGTTATAAATATAAAATACTGCCTATAGAATGGTTAGTAGTAGGAAAAGAGTACTCCTGGTCTGGCATTATTTCTCAGAGAAAAGACTGTTGTGAATGGTCAGGAAGTTCCTTCTGGCAGCAACACGTGGCATTCTGTGTCCCGTGTATCCCTAGCAAGGACTTCCTAATTGTTTCCCCTCCCAGAACAGGCAGCTCTTGGTCTGACTTGAAGAACCCCATTCAAAAATAGAAATATTTATTCAAAGCATGTCTTTTTTTTTTTTTTTTTTTGAGAGTTTTGCTCTTGTTACCCAGGCTGGAGTGCAATGGCGCGATCTCGGCTCACCGCAACCTCTGCCTCCTGGGTTCAGGCAATTCTCCTGCCTCAGCCTCCTGAGTAGCTGGGATTACAGGCACGTGCCACCATGCCCAGCTAATTTTTTGTATTTTTAGGAGAGACGGGGTTTCACCACGTTGACCAGGATGGTCTCGATCTCTTGACCTCGTGATCCACCTGCCTCGGCCTCCCAAAGTGCTGGGATGACAGGCGTGAGCCACCGCGCCCAGCCCTCAAAGCATGTCTTATGAAGAAACACTGATTATCTGAAGTTGGAGGTTTTGTCTTGTGCTGTGATTGTTTTTATTTATTGCTGTTCCATTTTAAGAAACACTATTTTCCATGTCTCAAAACTGATGTACACCTTTATTTTTACTCTTTTTAATGTTCTGATTTGCCGTAACTATTCACAGTGAACCTATGTTGTGTTTGGTGAGTTAGATGGATGGTTAACTTATCCTCCTGCCTTATTTTGTGGCTATGCAGTGGCCCTAAAACCTTTTGAAAGGGTGGGGGTAAAAGTTGTGATAGAGTCTGTAATTGGTGACTAAGATACCCCTAATATGCTCAGTCATTAGGAAATTATGCTAATTTTGGCCTGCTTTGTTTCCATCACTGTTTATGTAAGGGCCAGAACTGCTCAGCAACAATACATATGCAAATACTGTGTAAGTGCCACATAACAAAATTAATGACCATCTACAATATGCTAGTTTGACTTTGATTTCTAGCTTTTGTGGGGACTTCATTTTTTCCTAAGGTTTGGATTTATTGAGAGAGCATGGAGTGACTTTGAAAATACGGACTTCTTTAGCATAGTGAAGAGACTGGATTTGAAGTGAATACATTGTATGTCTTTCAATTGACATAGGAACACTCGACTAACTTTTTAAGATAAGGATATTATTAATAAATAGCCCATGCAAGAACAGTCATCACATTCTTTTGATATTGTTTAAAGTATTACTAGCACTGAAATATTTTGCCAACATGAATTATTATTTATTTTTCAAAGTTACAACTTTGGACTTTTCTATCTTTCAGGTTTTGCTCGTAATCTGTCGGAAGGCAATAATGCTAATTACACAGAGTACGTTGCCACCAGGTGGTATCGATCCCCAGAACTCTTACTTGGGTGAGTTACCGTCCCAAAATAGAATGACATCTCCACATCTGCTGATCCTATTGTCATTGGCTTTGAGATCATCTATGGAAAATAAACTTCAGTTAATTAAATGTGTCAGTTACATATTGAAGTATAACAAACTACCTAAAACTTAATGGTATGAAATAAGCACTATTTTGTTTGCTTACAATTCTGGGTGTGGGGGCATCAGCAGTTTGAGTTCAGTTTGGTGGTTCTTCTACTGGTCTCTCATGGAGTCACTCATGGAGGTATAGTCAGCTGGCAGGTCATCTAGGAGCTGGTTAGTTTAGGGGTCTCAGATGGATCAGAACATCTCTGATCCCTGGAGACTTATCCTCCAGTAGGCTAGTCCAAGTTTCTAAGTGTGATAGTTGGAGAATTCTGTGCTATAAGAGGGTGAGCCCCAAAGCAACAGTAGCTTTCAGGCCTTTTTTTGTATGGCTTTTGCCTCGTTGGCCAAAGCACGTTGCATGACCAACCCCTGATTGATGGTATGGAGAAATAAATTCCACCTCTCAATGAGACAAATGGCAGAGCATATTACAAAATGGCGTATGTATGGAAATGGAAAAAATTATTGTAGCCATCTTTGCTAATAAACTTCCACATGAAGAATGTGAATATCCACACAGTTTGACATTCTGTCTTACCTATTTGTTAATTTATTCATTCATCAAATACTTATCAAGTATCTCTTACATCCAGCCATTTTGCCAGGCACATGGAGTAAATATTGAACCAGACTGGGTACAGTGGCTCTTGCCTGTAATCCCAGCACTTTGGGAGGCCAAAGCTAGCGGATCTCTTGAGCTCAGGAGTTCAAGAGCAGCCCGGGCAACATGGTGAAACCCTGTCTCTCCAAAAAAATATAAAAATTAGACAGGCGTGGTGATGCCTGCTTGTAGTCCCATCTACCTGAGAGGATAAGGCAGGAGAATCACTTGAGTCCCAGAGGCAGAGGTTGCAGTGAGCTAATATCATACCACTGCACTCCAACCTGGGCATCAGAGTGAGACTCCATCACAAAAAAAAAAAAAAAAAAAAAAAAAAAAAAAAAACGAACCAATTGCCATTTTTGTTCTGAACAAGGTAAATCCTATTTAAAAACAAAACAAAAAACAAAAAAACGAACCAATTGCCATTTTTGTTCTGAACAATGTAAATCCTATTTGATGATAAATGGCTGTTCAAAATAGCACTACATTGACAATTTTATCAGTAACATCTCTGCATTCATTTCCTTTGTGCCTACCCTTTAACTTTCAATGCTGTTTCATTCATCTATTAGCACCAGAAAAAGGTCTTCTGATCAGGTTCTTTTCTTTTTAGTACATTTTAACTTTAAAGCCTAAGAAGGAGCCTGTAGTTCTCATTAATAATTCTCTACCTACCCTAGTTGTAGGATTATTTTCCCTAGATTATATTTCCTTCTTTGGGACCACCCAAGAACAGAGAAAGAAGTTATACTCCACAAATAAAATTAGATACAGTGATAGTGATGACAAGTGCACAAATTGTAGGTTTCATTTCTTTAGCCTTCCATACGTGTATCTGGGGGACATGAGGAATTTAATTTTTAAAAATGTTTTTTATGTAATAGTAATATAAGTTTCTGGATTTTTTTCTGAAGAGCATGATGACTGCATGTTTAAGTTACTCACTGGGGGTTTATTTTGATGTTAACTACTTATTTTCCACTATCTACCAACCATCTAGTAGTAATTCTTGATTCATTGCTGACCTAAAGCCTGTAAGAATCATTGACATCACTTTTTGAAAGCTTTACTATTTTTTTTTTAATCAAAAGCTTGCTTTATCCTGAGAAACAAATGATGCTTAGTCACTTTATTATATCTTCCATTGTGTGGGCAGAGTTTAGAATTTTTATGCTAATTTTTAATCTTAGAATTAGGATTGATTTTCTTTGTGTTTGTCTATATTTTTTCTGTGTACCTTTTGGACTCATTGGGATGCATAGTGCATTTTCTTTTGGGAAATTTGAATTTACTGGACACTTTACCAATAGAGAACTGATTATGAAGTAGATCATTCTTAGAACCCCATCTGAGGACTCAAATGTAGTAGAAGGGCTTGTTATAATACGGTGGTGTCTGTAACATGGCCCCAAGAAGTTTATCTTGAGGACAGCCTTATTGTGAATCTTCAGAGAGTATTTGCTGCCTAATAATACTTATAGAAAAACTAGAGTTATGTTTAGAGATGTGTGGTAGCTGCTGAAAGTACGGGGATAATGTAACTAAATTAGTGCTAAAATGAGCATTGCTAATTGATTATCAAGTACTAGTTGAAGACTGTATTAGTAAAAATCCCTTTGAAATCAGATATTTGGTTATACATTAAGAATTTAAATTTTATACATTCTCAAGGCTTTGTCCTTGACATTCAGAATCATTCCAGCTGCATAAATTATTCAAATCAGATGACAGAAGAGAAATAGCTTGTAGTGGGTATGTGGAAATTTTCCATAAGTTTCTCCATCTAGCACTATGGAACAAATTTTCTCTCTCTCAAACAGATAGAAAAGAAAGATCAATATCTTTCCCTGCCCAACAAACTTACCAAAAAGATCTAAGTGAAGTTTCTTTGTGTGGTTCTTAGGTTGATATAGGAAGGAAATGAATAAATGAAATATTGACTTACATTGCAATGATTTGTTATCCTAGAAATCTGTTCTGTGTAATGTTAACAGTCCTTTGATTTAAAAGTTTTGTTTCACTACTATATCATCTTGGCATTCCAGAATTTCATTCCATATTCTTTTTCAGATACTTTCTTTTGGCTTTCCCTTCTTAAAGCTTGGATTATTTATGTTTGAAACGTGTGTGAGCATGCGCGCTTTGTGTGTGTGTGTGTGTGTGTGTGTGTGTGTGTGTGTGTGTGTTGTGTGTGTGGTTTCTTAATTTGCTATAAATAATTTTAACACTCTAGGTACTGGGAAATAGATATAAAACTGTTTTGAGAGTACCTAGATTTTCGTATACAACCTCCATTTATCAATAACAGCAACACTCCTCTAAAGCCCTCTGGTAAACTCACACCCTAGAAGAAAGCTATAAACTCCTAAGTAAACTGGAAAATGTTTTGAGGGAAATAGCTACCATAAAGCTCTATATACATAGACTACACATATTATATTCAAATAAATAATATGGTAGACCGTAGCACAGTCTTAGCTATCAGAAACTGTGATGCTGAGTAATGGAAAGTTAAATAATATTGTTAAGAAAACACATAAGTCAGTCTATAGTAAATTTTAATAGACTAAACTCATAAAATGGATAAGATGTATCTTTTTGACATTTAGAGAGCTAAAGGACAATTATTTGTCTTAGAAAATACAATTCTTTGGAAGCATTTCATTCCCCTAGTGAGGTGTTACTTGCCAGACATGTATACTGTATTAGGGTTTATTAAGCCATTCACGTTTAAGAGATATATGTATATATATATATATACATATATTTATGTGAATACTTTTCAAATTAGTATATACTAAATTGTTATTAAATTGATGGCTTTATTAGCATAGGTTTATTCACCTGTGTTCTTATGATTTACTTTTCAGCCTTACCTTTTTTCACATGGAAGATTTTAATTGCATAAATATACAAGTTTGCTGCAAATTATAAATTTGTTTACAATAATTTGGAAATTATCAAGACATTGTATTTTTTCAGTTGCCAAAATAATCTCTTTCTTTATTTTTCAGCGCTCCCTATGGAAAGTCCGTAGACATGTGGTCGGTGGGCTGTATTCTTGGGGAGCTTAGCGATGGACAGCCTTTATTTCCTGGAGAAAGTGAAATTGACCAATTATTTACTATTCAGAAGGTGCTAGGACCACTTCCATCTGAGCAGATGAAGCTCTTCTACAGTAATCCTCGCTTCCATGGGCTCCGGGTAAGAAGTTTTGCTGAAACCCAAAATGGAATCAATACTGCAATATTTGAATAGAATTCAAATACCATTTGAAAAACAACAATGGAACGCTAAACTATCCCTTGAATGCTATTTCTTTTCCCATATGGTGTTTATAATCCCTACCATAATATTTTATTTCGAAATCTTTTATAGTATTTGTGAATTTAAAAAGTGGTTAGAATTCAAATTCTCATCTTTTTAAAATTTATAAGTTCCAGTTTTTCAAAATCTTTTTTAGTGTATACATTCTTACACTCTAAACTTTGATTATCTTAGACTGTTTCTTTTTTGTTGTTGTTGACAGTCTTTCTGTATTGCCCAGGCTGGAGTGCAGTGGCATGATCTTGGCTCACTGCAACCTCCACCTCCCGGGTTCAAGCAATTCTCCTGCCTCAGCCTCCCGAGTAGTTGGGACTACAGGTGTGTGCCACCACATCTGGCTAATTTTTTGTATTTTTAGTGGATACGGGGTTTCACCATGTTAGCCAGGATGGTCTCGATCTCCTGACCTTGTGATCTGCCCGCCTTGGCCTCCCAAAATGTTAGGATTACAGGTGTGAGCAGCCACACCCAGCCTAGACTGTTTCTTTATCCAAAATAGTAAGCATCCCCCAAATACACCAAATGTATGAATATTGAGCAAACATATTTGTAGTGATTTGAGGAGAGCCCTGAAAACTTGAATTCCCCAGATTTAAAGGTTCTTGTTTTAGTAAATATTTCTGGTCCACTGACAGTGAAACATGAAATCATCTTTTCAAACTAGTGTATTGTCTTAGGGCCATGAACAGTGGCTCACTCCTGTAATCTCAGCCCTTTGGGAGGCCAAGTTAGACGGATCACTTAAGGCCAGGAGTTTGAGACCAGCCTGGCTAACATGGTGAAACCCCGTCTCTACAAAAAATAGAAAAATTAGTCAGGCATGATGGCACACACCTGTAGTCTCAGCTACTCGGGAGGCAGTTAAGAGAATTGCTTGAACCCAAGAGGTAGAGGTTGCATTGAGCTGAGGCAGCCTGGGTGACAGAGTGAGATTCTGTCTCAAAAAGAATAAATAAATAATATATTGTCTTGGGCAGCCTTTCCTAGACTTGACAACTTCGTACAAAGCTTTTCTAAGAATATGCTAAATAGTGCCTTAGAAAGTATAAATTTTTCCCAAACGAGGAGAAGTCATCTTACTGGAGTGCTCAGTGAGTTATAGGTTACTTCTGTCTTTCATATACCCCAAAAACAACTTTTTTAAAGTTTTCAGCTACTTTTTTGGGCCAATATGGGGCAATTGCTGGTCATTGTGGCAACTATAAAATAATCTCCTCACCATTTCCTTCCTTTGTCTGAAATGCGTAATTCTCAAACCATGTTACTTTGCCATTTACAAAGTACTTTGGTTCTTTCTTTTGACTTTCTGGCCCTCAGTTAATTTCCCTTTAGAGACCACCACTACTCAAACCTGGGTGCCCAACCGTCCAGCTCCTTCTAGGCGCAGTGAATGTGGGCAAAATGAATGGACAAAGGCATACCAGTGTCTCTCTTATCTCCTCCTGCTCTCTCTCTCTCTCTTTCACATTTGCCTGAGTTAGCTCAGGCAAGTTTGTCTTTTCTCCTTTTATTTTTGCTTTTGTAAGCCAAAAATTTGCCAGATATAACCAGTAATTGGGGTGCCAGCAGCACATGTGGTTCAGCAGGTTAGCTCAACATTTTCAAACATTTGTCATACTAGATGTTGGAAATATGACAATAAACAGGACTTGTCCACAGTCTAGAAGAAAGAAAAATCTATTATATTCAGAAATAAAGTTAGTCATAATTAATGAATTGCATTTTCACTGAGAATCAATTTAAACTCCTTGCTGTAGACTATGAGACCTTCCTTGCCTGACCTCATCTCATACCTGTCTCCATTCCCCCCATTCTCCAGATTCGCAGCATGCTTGCCTTTTTTGTTCTTTGGCTTCTGTAAACATTCCATGGTTTATCCAGTTCCATCAGCTTGGAACCCATGGCTTCCTCTCCTGGCAAGGTGCTTCCCTCATGTGGTGCCTTCTCATTCTGTCAGTCACAAAGAGTGCCCCTTTCTCTGGCCACCCAACATACCACCCCTACCTCCTGCCTATTCTCTTTCTCCCATAACAACCTTTTTTTCTATCATAGAACTTACCACAGTATGGAATTATTTTGTGTATTTACTTGTTGATGATTAACTATCTATCCTCCCTCACTAGAATTTAAATTTCTCAAGGGCAAAAATCAACTGTTTTATCACATCACAGATGTGTTTCCAGCATTTAACACAGAAACTACCATATCCAGTAAGTACGTACTACATATCTGAGAAGCGATTAACCAGTCTGTAGCATCAGCATTTAAGCTCAACTGTATTTTTTTCTATTTCTCATGCTTCTTCTACTGTTTTACCTTTACCTAACCCTTGACTACCACCCCCAAACGGATCCCCTGATCTTTCTCTTTTCACTTTAGCCTTCTCACATTCCTCAAACCACACAATTCTCTTCTTTGTTTAGATATCTCTTCAAGGTTGCTGAAAGTTTAAACTCTTTAGGGTAGCTTTAAAAACCCCTTCTTCTTAGCCCTTCAGCCTCATCTCTGCCTCCCTGCTTGGCCCCGTGTGTGCTCTTTGGCCACATTGAACCTCTCACCATTTCCTTGACATATTGCTTCTATAGTTTGCATTTCCATTTCTATAATGCTGCCAACGCTCACCCCTCTTTCTTCTCCTCCTTCTTCCTCCCCTAGACTCAGGCCAAATTTCTTCCCTCCCTGAAGGCCTTCTAGACTATTCGAAGGGAAACTGGTGACTCAGTAACACTCTGGTCATATCTCCTCTGTAGCACCCATTGCATTCTCCTTTAAGTAGCTGTTTGCAAATGTGTATCTTCACTGGACTAATGAATTCCCTGAGGAAATGAACTGTTGTGTTCACCATGATATTTGCAGCACACCTAGAATAGTGCCTGCTAGGCTGAATAGTGTTGAATGATTAAATATTTGATCTCAGGATTTTAACATTAACTGCTGGAACATTAAGCCTGGTTTGCTGGCTGACTTGTTCTTGGCCTGGTTAATGAGGCTCTATGCTGGATTCTCTGAAGAGAGAGTATAAAACAGGTCTGACATGCTACTTGGCTTTAATAACTTATAAACTAGCTGAAGAATTAAGACTTTCATCCACAAAATAATTAGAAAACAATACAGTTGATAAGAAAGCAGGGTATATAATAAAGTACTGCATTGTTTACCGCATTGTACGGTTTTCTAATGTATTTCCATATGGTTTAGAACATGAGAGTGTCAAATATTCTGGAAAGTTAGAAATCATGGTTGGGGATTTATTAGAGAAGACTTTATGGAGCATTTGACATTTGAAATGGATATTGAAGAACAAGGAGCATTTTGATTAGATAGGTCCCACAAAGGATATATTTTTCTCATTTGTCTGTGGTCCTGTTTGTTCATAGCCTTCTTCCCTAAACAATAGTATCTATAAAATGCTTGACAGCATATGACAATGCTGCTTACAAACATCCTTCAGGACAATTGCTGCCTCCATCACACTTTGACTTTTATAAACCTTAGTACTTTTACATTTTAGTCTGAAAATGTTTTTATTATTTTAACTAAATTAGTTTAATCTCTTTGGAAGTTTGACAATATCTTTTGAGGGAGAAGTTTTCTTTCATGATGTTATTTGAGAATGCCTATGACAGATAGGTAAGCATATAGGACATGTAAACCGCATCTGCTGTGCACCACGGACTCACCAGTAACCAGTGCAGTGAGATGCGCATTTGGATTTAGTTGTGTAGAGACTGGAAAATCTACAAGATGATGCTGTACTGGTTTGCATTATTGTGATAAAGTAACAGTTGATGCCCCATAGTATAGGGCCTAGGCTCTGGGTTCAAGGCCTGGATCCATATTTACTGTTTTGAATGATGTCAGGAAGTTATTTCACCGTCCTGTGCCTCTATTTCTTCTTGTGTAAAATGATGATAACCAAAGGACTGCCTGATTGGATTGGTGTAAAGGTGAAATATTATTTGTAAAATGTCCAGACCAGAACTTCACACATAGTGCTCAGCAAAGAGGCATTCTCACTGGATTAGATTGGATTGGCCACATAATTCAGAAAGAAACAAGACTGATAGGGCTATACGTTAAACTTCTATGCATGAGTTTTGGCTGTTTGTTTAATTATTTCCTATTGGAATGGCAGGTCTCATTGAAAAGCATGTAAATTCTTTGAAATTAGGAGTTTGCTTGGTCATTTTTTATTGTAATATTTCTAATACCTTTTTACTTTCAGCATTAATTTTTTTATCAATGAAATTTGACTCCTAGAAAAAGAAGGGGGTATCTGGTAGCATAAGATAGACCTCATACACAAAATATTAAAATGTACTGGTATAGGATCTTTTATCACAGCATGGTTGGTGTCTTTCTCTTTGGGCTGATATTTAATACTCCAGTAACATCAAAGGAAACCTCTGTACTTCCCTTAGGAGAGGCACCTAGGTTTAGAAAGAGTGTGGGTTTGGATCACAAGACTGGGTGCAAATACTAGTTCTACTGCTGTTTAATTATGTAACTTGCCTTGAACCAGTTATTTGAACTTTCTGATTGTCACCTTCTTCATCTCTAAAATAAGAATAATATATCCAGAATGCCTCGCATAACATCACTTCCCTCAGAAATCAGTTTTAGGATATTGCCTCGTGCATCTGTGTTGAGTTCATTCTATTCCTCTGTCTGGAAGGTGCTGTCCTGCTTTTCTCTGTCTTTACATTTTCATATCTTTCAAAACCCAGTTCAGTTATTACCTATGGGTTCTTTCTTTATGGCCATAAACCACCTTGGTCTTTCCTTTCTGTGAGCTTCAACTAGAATTTATGGTTGCACAGTTTAACACTGATTGCTTTCCCAACCAGACAGCCAATTCCTTAAGAGCAGGGTTTGGGTCTTACTTGTATTTTTTTGTCTCCTGCTGTCCAGAGCACGGTGTGGAGATGATGTCGTAATCACTTCTTAAATACCTTGTTTGAAATTTTACTATATAATTAGTCCTTCCATTTACTTATTTAGCATGTTTAGGGATTTTAGTACTTCGAAATGCTTGTATATTGGTATAGAGGAAATAATATATGGAAGCAGACTAGCCCTCACATTTGGAAGGGAGTGCATGACATTGGGCTTTGCCAGTCATGTTACTCAGTACTTTAACATCCACTAGATATTGCAAAATCTGAGTTGGCAGAGGAAAGAACAGAAAGCACATCTAAATAAACTTGACCTCTTCCCCTCATTTTATTTAAAAATGCATTTGTTAATCTGGGAACCTAGCTTTGTCGGTTCCAGCTTTTAAAAAGGAAGGATTTGAAAACAGGTCATTATAAGAGCATATTAAAAGCAATGATAGAATGTGTGTCTGAATTCACTCTCTACTTCTGTGACCTTTTAGATACTGGCCACTTACTTTCTCTTTTTTTACTTCTCTGTTTTCAAGAGTAAATGGTATGTTGTTAAGAAGCTATGAGAATTCTATCTTATGTCTTATAATATCCCTTCTGCTAGTCCCTCAATTACTATCAGTAATTAAGAATAATGTGTATAAGCCAACGAATCATATGTATAAGCAGACAAATCATGTATACACTGTATTAGAACTAATTATGTAAGCAAATGATATTCTATTTTACTACATAAAATACAAAAATTAGTTCAAATTTTTATATTTTGTTTCACATGCCTTAGTATTGTCTGCCTAGATTTAAATATCATCTTTCACCTGTGAGTTTTCCTGTTAATTGACACCCAGTCCCATTAATCCATATAAAAATACACAGACAACTGGTGTAGTGGCTCACACCTGTAATCCCAGCACTTTGAGAGGCCAAGATGGGTGGATCATGAGGTCAGGAGTTGACCAGCCTGGCCAACATAGTGAAACCCCATCTCTACTAAAAATACAAAAAATTAGCCGGGTGTGGTGGCAGCTTCCTGTAATCCCAGCTACTTGGGAGGCTGAGGCAGGAGACTCGCTTGAACCCAGGAGGCAGAGGTTGCAGTGAGCCAAGATAGCACCACTGCACTCCAGCCCAGGTGACAACAAGAGACTGTCTCCAAAAAAAAAAAAAAAAAAAAATACGTAGACAACAAAAGTAATATACAAGTATGAATGTGACTGGGATTGGCATTTTTGCTCCTCTGCTCCCTTCTACAACATTCACAAGCACATGCACACACATATCCTTCCCTAAATGTTAACATTACCATTGTGTTGCTCTTACAGTTTCCAGCTGTTAACCATCCTCAGTCCTTGGAAAGAAGATACCTTGGAATTCTGAATAGTGTTCTACTTGACCTAATGAAGGTAAGGCAAGTTGATATTATCTCTATAAAATATCTTTTGGTTTGTGGATTCTTTTATGTCTACATGTGACCATAGCCTGCTTTTATGAGTGAAATATTAGAAGATGTGTAATGGCAAATCATGGGGAACTATGTCCTATTAAAAGGCATGTAATTTATTTAAAATTACAATGGGATCTGGTATTGTCACTGTTCATCTAGACAGAATCATGAAATCCCTAAATGACATTCTTAAAATGGACAGAAAAATAAACATCTGTTAGCACACAAGAGCTGTTCAAGCATAAGGTTTTAAAACATATCTTAAAATCAATGTTGAAAGAAGAGATTCAACAATTTTTTCTGACATGGTATTTAAAGCCTCCCATCATCTACACAGATTTAATCAGTGAATCTAATTTTCCTCTTTTTCTAACTTGGCCTCTTCTCTCCCAGACTCTTTCTGGTTCTACTTTAGACATATCAGGATCATTACTAATGCTGTGGTCTGAGTGTTCTCCCTCATGCTACCCTCCCTGTCCAGAAGTCTTCCTGCTCTTTACTCTAAAAGCATTCTCAAATTATTCAAGTTTATTTTTTTTTCTCCAGTAGACAGTCAGCTCCTTGAGTGGGAACTATTTTTCATATTTCTCCAGCTTTCACTGCAGCCAGAAGTGCATAAGCAAGTGTTGGTTTTTTGATAGTAGACCTTCAAAGAATACTTGTTAATGGATCAATTTTATTTTCTGCCCAGTCAGTCAACTGTCAAAATCAGTGGAGGTTACACTGTGCATAGAGCCTTTAAAAGGCATACTTAGCACAGTCGGAAATTTCTGAGTGGCATTCTCAGAACTTTGCCGTGCTTTAAACTATGTTAATCTGTGTTCCAGGGAACATAGTGTACATAGGTATGGGGGCGGAGGAGAGGGAGGAGGGTGTGACATTTGGGAAAGGCCACATACCATATAACCTTTTGTAGAGATTCACAATATTTATTAATCTATAAAGGCTTTTAGAAATAGCACAATAAAAAAGCATTTCTATCTTACCCAATATTTTCCAAATTTAATTAAATACTGAATACTGTTTTTTATAAAACTAAAGCTCTAGTGTTCTTCTGAACACAGATTGAGAAATGCTATCCCCAAAAAAGAACTCTCAAAGCCTTTTGTATAATTATACATAAATTATCACTTAAATCAGGTAGGTTTTGTCAATATACTTTTTTATGCAGTCAATCCTTATTGATTGAGACCTTAATAATTTGGTAACTTTTAAAATGTAAATAGAATAAAGTAGAAACATGGAATTAAATACAGTTTCATGTTTTCTGCCTTTTATCTTTCTTTAGTTAAAAATAATTGAATGTTTTTGTTAAATCATTACCAAATATAATTGCCAAGCATCAGTGTGGTACCTGTAAAAGCTAGCACAGATAAAAGTAGAAAGATAACCTGAATCTTCCTGTGCTTCTGCCAGTTTAGAAGCTAAGCATTCAAATTCCTATTTATTTAATATCTTTACCATCAGATTTCTTTAAGTAAATATTTTTATTGAAATGCCCTTTCAAAAGGTGCACAAATTATGTCTATATGTAATTTACTTTTTATAATGTAAACATATTAATGGAACTCTACCCAGATGGAGATAGAGAAAATTATTAACACCCTAGAAGCCTTCTTACGACTCCTTCCAGGCTTAATGCCCCCGGCCTCCTCCCCCTACCTTGAGAAACCACAGTTCTGATTTCTGAGTAGCTGAGATTACAGGCATGAGCCGCCACATCCAGCTAATTTTGTATTTTTATTAGAGACGGGGTTTCACCATGTTGGTCCGGCTGGTCTCAAACTCCTGACTTTAGGTGATCTGCTCGCCTTGGCCTCTCAAAGTGCTGAGATTACAGATGTGAGCCACCACGCCCAGCCCAGAATGATTTCTTAAGATCTTATGTCAAGTGGGAAGAAAGCTAAATTCCCACAATTGTGTGTATACTACTATGTGGGTAAAATAAAAGGAGCGGATAGAGATATGTATAGAGTATCTGTGGAAGGATGCCCAAGAAACTGGTAACCTAGGCTGCCTCCGGAAAAGGGAACTGATGTATCTGTGGGACAAGAGAAAGATTAAGAATGTATTTTCTTTCAAGTGAATATCCACTTAATTAAAAGTATACTTTAAATTTTTTAATTATATTGTAAAAATGATTTTGATTAGTAAATGAGAAGTGCAGGGTATAAAACTGTGTATATAATATAAGCCAAATTTTGTAAAAGAAAATATGTATATAGGATGTTCAGAAAAGGGTTGGGATGATATATACCAAGAGGACATTGATGATGAGATTATAGGTGATTTAGTCTTTTTTTTTTATTTCCTGAACTGTGTTTACCTGATACTCTGCAATGACCATGTATTTCTTTTATAAGGAAAAACAATAAGGTTTTTATTAGAACTTAAATTTGACTTTGTAATGTTCTTAACAATCCTAAATTTTATTTCCTGAGAATTTACTGAAGTTGGACCCAGCTGACAGATACTTGACAGAACAGTGTTTGAATCACCCTACATTTCAAACCCAGAGACTTCTGGATCGTTCTCCTTCAAGGTCAGCAAAAAGAAAACCTTACCATGTGGAAAGCAGCACATTGTCTAATAGGTAAATATTCCCTTTTAAGGAAATACAGATGCAGTGTTGGTCTTACAAGTAGGTGGAGGAGGTGGCTGCTTAAATGATGCAATTAGAGAGAAGAAGGAAAGCGCTCTTTATTCAAAAATATCTTCCTTATGCTTATTGCATGATTCAGAACCACAATTAAGGAGTTGTGTGGGTCTTAAAGACTTTCTTATCTTTAACTAGTATATGATGGAAACCTATGCATTCCCTGGGAAAGGTAGCATTGGGTTAGCAACTAAGGGGGTTTACAGTCTCAAGAGCTAGAATATTCTGCGTGAATGAGACCCATCAGTGATACCTAGACGAGGAAAGATGGGTGAGGGCAAGGGGATTCTTGGAGAGAGAAGAGGATGCCAAACACAGATGGTGGATGGAAATGTATCTAGTGTAATCTTTGTGACTGGACCAAGTAGATCTGGCTCTACAGAGGGGTCTTGTGTTTTGATTGCTCTTGTCTTTTACTCATTTAGTTGAGAAATTAGTTTTTCATAAGACAATATGGAAATAGTAAAGTCAGTGATTAAAATTGTTGCTCTTTAAATATGATTTTTCAGCATAATTTTTAAAAAGCTTCTTTCCTGAAAAAAACACATTTGGGCCATATGATCAGGTTGTCTTTCAGACCTGACTTTTCTTGATTCCGTTGGTTGCATGTCCAAGAGGACAGTGTCCTAGTCATGGTCTCCCTGTCTTCCTTCATCTCCCAAGAGGCTGATCTTTTCATCTGGGGTCATTGCATTATGGGAGATAGGACATAGTTTCTCTCGTCTGCTATCACAAGAGAAATAGAAAACAATGATTCTTTATTTTTTAGTTTTTTTTTAGAGACAGGGCCTTTTCTCTGTCTTCTAGGCGGGAGTGCATTAGCATGATCATAAGTCACTGCAGCCTTGAACTCCCAGGGTCAAGCAATCCTCCCACCTCATCCTCCTGAGTAGCTGGGACTATAGGAGCATGCCATCATGCCTGGTTAATTTTTTACATTTTTTTGTAGAGATAGGGTTTCACTGTTGTTGTCCAGGATGGTCTCAAACTCCTGGCCTCAAACAGTCCTCCTGCCTCAGTCTCCCCATGTACTGGAGTTACAGGCATGAGCCAGAGCATCTGGCTGAAAACAGTCATTTCTAATATGAAGCTTTTTTGATATAAATTTTCTTCTCACCCCCAACCTCAAATTTTCCATCCATATAGAGCAGTTGTTCTTTTTTGAGGCAGGGTCTTGCTCTGTTGCCCAGGCTGGAATACAGCAGTGCAATCATGGCTCACAGCAGCCTCTGCCTTCCTGACTCAAGTGATCATCCCACCTCAGCCTGAGTAGCTGGGACCACAGGCATGTGCCACCATGGCTGGCTATTTTTTGTATCTTTTTATAGAGAATTCCTGGGCTCAAGCAATTGGCCTACCTCAACCTTCCAAAGTGCTGGGACTACAGGTGTGAGCCACTGCACCCAGCCAGGCAATTGTTCTTAACAGATCAGAATTTTGAAAGCTCAAGACCTGGTACTGTTTAGGTCTGGGAGAGCATCCATAGATTGATGATGACCATTTATCATATGGTTGCTCTGCTTAACTATGATAGTGTAATTGTGTTTTAGAGCTGTTTTCTTTTCTTGAAAATGACTGGTTTCAGTTTGTTTGTCCTCACAACTTATATTAGCTGGCTATGTTTGTTGCCATGAAATTTTTGGACACTAAGTCAGGAAATAGTCGTCATCATTTGGTTGTTCCTTTGCATTTAGGAGGTGCAAATTAGTCCTGTGTCTTCTTTAGGGTTACGGTCAGTTCAGGTGCTTTTATCTCCCATCTACCTTAATTGTCTCTTAGCTCCTTTAGTTTACAACAAAAACATTATCCCAATGATATACAGTTCAGTAGACTGATAATATGTTTTTGATTTGTGTTATAGTAATTACTCTTGTAACCCATACTGTGAAGAGGCTGTGTGTTTGTCTTCTAGTGACTCATTTGACAGAGTTCTTAGACTTAACTAGTGGGGACCTGAGGCTCTCCTCAGGAACCTGTTTAGGGATCTGTTAAGGAGGATGTGTTTGATGATGATGTTTTCAGTGGATACAGAAGATTTGTATGGGTCCTTAAGGAGTCCTCCCAAGTCCCCTTTTGAAATAAAGAGAATAGAAATTAATTTAAAATCTCTGGAAGAATTCATTTTCAGGTCTTGACACTGTATTGAATATATTAAAGAAAAAGTCCTAAATGCTTTTTCTAGGAATGATCTTACCACATTTTACATGCGTCCGAGCGCTTTTGCTCCACACTTGTCTATGGTCCATACTTATTCCATGGAAGCTTTTTTTGTTAGAGACGTTAATTCTAGCTTGAATCTCAATACAAACGGTGGCTCCCTAAGACTTCTCAGGACTGTTTTAGAGATGCTCACAGCACCATATCACATTAGTTGCCACATGTAAACTCCCCTGTCTTGTCTCCGGAGATACACACACTGTTGCGTACCTTGTCATCTAAATTCTTTCTAAGAGAGGCAGTGGACTCTTGTGTTACTTAGTGCCTGCCTGTCTCCCTCAGGCTCTCCTGAGGTTCTGCTCACCATGGACATGATGTGATGGTGTTTCAGCTGCCCCACACTGCCACACTCCCGGTCCTGCACCAGCCTTCTCCGTCAAAATGGAGCTTTGCATCTTTGACATTTACTTTTAAAACTTACTTTAAATCATTATCCATCCATCTGCAACCATTTGAGTTTATATGTAAAATTTTTTTAACTAGTTGGCAATTTAACACAGATTCTTTACAGTTGTGTGTCAAAGAGATCTATGGAGTTTTCAAAGCTGTATTTTATTGTTGCACTTTGGCAGAGCTCCAATGCGAAGACAGTATGATGCCCTTTCTATGTAGGAATTAGGTGCAAAGCTCAGTGGTTTCCAACTAATCCTAAGACACACTCAGAATGACAGTTTAGGCTCTTCGTACACTTATGGAAAACCTAAAGCTTTGACACGTTTCTGCCTTAACTAGATAACCTCTCTTTTCATGTTAGAATTGACTCTTATATTGCTCTGAATATGTTCTTCTAAGATCCACATGTACGTTTCTGCTCAACATCGCTAACAGTGTTTCTGAGTATTCCAAAGGCTCAAGCAACTGCCTTTGCTGTTCTCTGTCCCTTTTTGGTCTTCGTGATCTGAGGACATTTTCCAGTATCTGCACATGTTCTCTGTCTGCGATTACTGTCTCTAGACCTGAAGGGGAATGGGGTCAAAATAGGGTTCTGATAGTCAGGGAGAGCTGGAGCTGGGCAGGAGGAGCCACTCTTTAGAAGCTGTCATCTAGAAGGACACAGCCACGATCTGAGTCAGGGTGCAGATGCCTGCAGGAAGGGAGCAGGGAAGACATCTCCCAGCCCCTCTTTCCTCTTGTCTTGTGATGCCTTCCACTACTAAGCCCAACCAGAAGCTAGCTGGCTAGGAAGCGTGGGTAACAATCTGCAGCATTGGGTTCCTGAGACCCAGGGCCGGGCTGATAGGGTGGAGGATGGATTGGAGGTTGGGCAAATGAAGAATAACCAACACCCTTAGATCTATTTGTGGGTGAGACAGTCTATCACTATTTAGGTTTGAAAAGTCACTGAGATATTTTAGTTACCAAGATATAAGTTGGAAAACAACTCAATGGTTTAAAACCTAATGCCTTTAGGATACAGGGACTTTATTGATCTGGGGATAGACTCTTAACATCATTTAGCAGAAAGTGAAACTTAGTATTTCTTTCTTTGTAATTTCTTTCTAGATCTGGGCTTTGCCATTTGGTGCTCATATTTAGATATTCTTTTATTTAATGCTGTAATTCTAATAACCCAACTGGAAGAGATTAGTGAGGACATGTAGGAGATGAGCCCCCCCCCCGACACCCACACTGTCACAGGCTTGCTCGATATCAGATTTGTGACACTCTCAGGTAGCATTCTGGCAGAGATTACTGACTGAAAGGTAGACTAGGAAAAGGGTCCTTATGTTATTTGATGGCTGAGCATGCAGGTTCTCCTGGGGAAAATTGGAAGGCAGAGTTTCACAGACTACCATTCTACATGAACAACAAAAAAAAGTGACTTCCAATGAGTGTCTCATGGGAACAAACTCTCCCAAATCAAACCATCTGTAGCAATAGCAGTATTTGCAACAAAATTTTCTAAATGCATAGTAAAACCAGAATTGTGTAAATCATTATTCATTTTTAAACATTCTAGTCTGTCCCAAGCTATAATTATGTCCTTTCAATAGTTACAGTAGAACAAACTGATCTTGCTATGGCATCAGTTTCAGCTTTCGAATAGAGGACAAGATTTTCCTCTGGATTTATATTTGGATTTTAAACCAAGTGTGAAATGAAGCTTTAAGTCCTAAAGGAGGGCTCAGTCGGTCTAGGATAATGAAGTGTTAAATAAAAAAGAAAATAATTGTGTCTTTTGGAGAGAAATGAACTCTTTCAGCTCTCTGTAATCCGGTATAGTACAGGATTCCTGTTTACTATACAAGGAGATGTCTGAAGAGCCCCAAGTAATTGCCACTTCTCCAAGACATAAACATTGATCATCATGTTTTCCAACAAACCTCACTGGACAGTTTACATTTCTTTTTAGAGTGTCATTTTCTTTTATTGAGAACATTGCTAGAATTCTCATTCTTTGATTATGCAGGCAAAAGAGACATTGGTGTCTGTGTGTATGTGCTGTATGTATCTCTGAGGCAGCCTACAAGTTTTACAAATAAAAATGAAGTTCAAGAAACATAGTAACCTTTAAGTCTAAATGTTGTCTTCTGACATTCAAGCAGACAAAAGAGTTAGAGAATTTATAGCTTAGCTCTCTTCTTAGCAGTCATTCTATCACAAACACTCATATGAGTACCAACATGGTAAGAGCATGTTTTACCAGATTATCATTTAGAAACTGTTTTGACAGCAAGTTAGCTGAGCATTTAGCAGTGCCGGGATAATTTCATCAAGGCCAGTGCTTTGTTACAGAGTGAATTGGTCTAAGAAACTTAATTGCTATTGATAGGTTACTTGTTATTGGTAGGCACATGCTTGAGAGAATTAATGTTTTTAGTCTTCCAGGTGTTTTAAGTATTTGTTCTTTTTAACAATACTTTTTGTGTGTCAGCTATTGAGGGAAACTGATAAACTTCTTTTGTTTTTAACATAGAAACCAAGCCGGCAAAAGTACTGCTTTGCAGTCTCACCACAGATCTAACAGCAAAGACATCCAGAATCTGAGTGTCGGCCTGCCCCGGGCTGACGAAGGTCTCCCTGCCAATGAAAGCTTCCTAAATGGAAACCTTGCCGGAGCTAGTCTTAGCCCAATGCACACCAAAACCTACCAAGCAAGCAGCCAGCCTGGGTCTACCAGCAAAGATCTCACCAACAACAACATACCGCACCTTCTTAGCCCAAAAGAAGCCAAGTCAAAAACAGAGTTTGATTTTAATATTGACCCAAAGCCTTCAGAAGGCCCGGGGACAAAGTACCTCAAGTCAAACAGCAGATCTCAGCAGAACCGCCACTCATTCATGGAAAGCTCTCAGAGCAAAGCTGGGACACTGCAGCCCAATGAAAAGCAGAGTCGGCATAGCTATATCGACACCATTCCCCAGTCCTCTAGGAGTCCCTCCTACAGGACCAAGGCCAAAAGCCATGGGGCACTGAGTGACTCCAAGTCTGTGAGCAACCTTTCTGAAGCCAGGGCCCAAATTACGGAGCCCAGTAGCAGTAGGTACTTCCCATCTAGCTGCTTAGACTTGAATTCTCCCACCAGCCCAACCCCCACCAGACACAGCGACACAAGAACTTTGCTCAGCCCTTCAGGGAGAAATAACCGAAATGAAGGAACGCTGGACTCACGTCGAACCACAACCAGACATTCTAAGACAATGGAGGAATTGAAGCTGCCCGAGCACATGGACAGTAGCCATTCCCATTCACTGTCTGCACCTCATGAATCTTTTTCTTATGGACTGGGCTATACCAGCCCCTTTTCTTCCCAGCAGCGTCCTCATAGGCATTCTATGTATGTGACCCGTGACAAAGTGAGAGCCAAAGGCTTGGATGGAAGCTTGAGCATAGGGCAAGGGATGGCAGCTAGAGCCAACAGCCTGCAACTCTTGTCACCCCAGGTACAGTTGAGCACCTTGACCAGATCTGGTGGCCCTTTAGGGGAAGGTGTTGCAAGGGATGTAACAAGGGTCTGTCTACAATTTTCCTTACTACAGGAGGTTGTGCTTTTCTTGATAGGATGTGTTTAGGGAAGCAGTACTTGACCTAATCTCTGTTCTGTTTTGTTTTGTTTTAAATCTACTTAGATCAACTGTTGAGTGTTCAAGAGAAGTCAAAAGTTTGTTTTTAGCAATCTAGTTTTTTTCTTGAATGTTCCTTTCTGGCATATTTTGTTGAGAGAATCTTATTTTGATTTATTACGGGATTCATCAGCTGTATGGGTTAGGTTTTAGTTTTGCTTAAAATACAGTGTGAATTCATGGGTATTTTCTCTGATCTCTCCAAATGACATTTGCTTAAATCAAAACCTTTTGCTAGTACCTTACTCAATATTTTAACTGAATTTAAAAGTTTTAAATTTGCCCAGAACTATAGATAAATTTAACTTCATGCCAGTATGTTAATTTTCAGTCTTTTGGGTTGTTTTTAAATCTTAAAACAGTATTTTTAGCATAATGCCTCCCCCATCTTATCATCAGACTCTAGAACTGACCTAACCTGCTTAAAAGAAGTAGCATTCTTACAATAGAGCATGTTTTAAAAATAATGTTTTCATGATTTCATCTATAAAGCACTGTGCCCAGTGCCTGGCACAAAGTAAGTATCTAACAAATTTTAGTTATTTATGCTGCTTCTGTGATTGCAGGGGCTGATATTTGGACATTGAGCACCTTTTCTGTGCCAGATGTTCCCAGGCACTCAAAAGAGTCTGAGAGAGCCCTTGCACTTGAGAAACTTACCTATTCTTGAGGAGGATTAAATGATGCATGATAACAATGAAATAAGTAAGACCTAAGTCAACATGGCTATAAGTAGGAATTGAGAATAGAGTGAGGTTATTATGAACAGGTGCAGTTAGAAACGGCTTTACAGGCAACTGAAGGTCTTGCTCTGGGCTAGGATGTATAGACAAGCTTTGAATAGGCTGAAGAATGAAGATATCTTCAGGCGTGTCCTGAGCTAGGCACCATGAAAAGCTCTAGCTAGAAAGATGAAAAGAATAGGGTCCCTGTCCTCTTAAGTGTGTGGGCTGGCAGGGGACATTTGTCAACAGGTTGTTCCACTACTGCGAGCTTACATTCTGGCTACTGCACTAGAAGTATGCTGTGTGCCAGGGGAGCGGGACAGTCCAAGTTGTGAATTGTGGGAGCTCCTAGAACAGGTGGTACCTGAGTAGAGACTTCCAGGAAGGTTGGGAAGAAAGTGACAGCGACCTTAGGAAAGAGGGGAAGAAAAGAGCATTGGAAGGAGAAGGAAGGTAACAGATGTTACATAGCATGGTGTGCTTTGGGGAATATGAATTGTTCCACTTTGCTGGAGTGAAACATGCAAGATTTGGAGTGGCTTTTGCAATAATTCAAGCATGAGGTGAGGAGAGTATGTTTGGGACATACATATCCAGTTGGAAACAGAGTGGATCTTCTACTCTTCAGAAGTAGAAACAACAGAATTTGTGATTTGAAGGATTGGATATAGGAAAAAGGAAGACTTCATGGTTTCTTTTCTAGGACCTCCTTTTTGGAGTGGAAGAGAATAATTTGGAAGTCACCTAATTCAACCCCTTTATTTCACAGATGAGCATGTTGAAGCTCAGAGAAGTTAGGTGAGTTGCTCCAAGTTTACCCAACTAGTTCAGGATGGAGCTGCGATTATGAGGCAGGCTCCAGGTGCTGAGGCCAGCCACTTGCCACTGTGTCTTGCTGACATGTTGAGTTTGAAGTGGCCTCTAAGCAAAAGTGTGCTCTAAGAGGCTAAAAATATGGTCTGGTACCCAGGTGAAACGAGAAGGCAGGAGGTGCCCATTTGCAGAGGCTGGAAGTGCAGTCAGAGGAATGGTCACAGGAGCCCTGAGGAGACACTGTTGGGAGAAAGAACATCCAGAGCCTAGAAAGATCTGCTGACAGCTTCCTGTAGAGGAGAGATGGAAGGGAAAATTAGGTAAAGTGTGCTAGCATTAAGCATGGTACAAAATGGAGAAGAAATCACAGAAACAAATAGCTTTTTAACTTAGAAGAAGTAATTGCTCTCTGAGAATTCCAGGAAAAGGATTTTTGTGAACATGGTGATCATAAGCGAATTACAAACAGTTACTGTGGGCTAAGCACAGATCTGTTCCTGACTTTGAAGGCCAGTTCAGGAGGTACAGTGCCCAACTACAAGAAAGTATTAGTTTAAAAGCACAAAGGTATCAGAAAGGCTGGAAAAGTAACTTAAGTTGTGATTGAATCGTAGGAATCACTCCTATGCAAAGAATCAATCCACCTTCAAAAGCATAGAGACTCTTACTGAGTTCATATTAGATGTTCATAATTTGTTTTCTTAAAATACTTTTTGTAGAGGCCTTTGTAAACAATACAGGTGGTAAAAGTCAAATGAGACATTTTCATAAAATAGAAGGAAGGCTATGTTGGTTGAATTCCTGCCCAGAATCCTCAGAGTCCATTCGGAAAATGAGAGGAGAAAAAATAATCATATTTTAAATCTTAAAAAAAATGTTTTTGATATGTCACATAGGCTTAAGGTAATGCCCTTTTCTGTGCATAATATACAGATGCAATGCAGCTAACTCCTTCTAATGACTTGGTAATTTTCTTCCTTGATCTTTTTTTCTGATGATGGAAAATGCCACATTTTTCCCCCTCAGTGAACACCATTGTGGACTGAGTAGTGTTCTTAGCTTGTGACTCACTTCTTTAAGAGAAGTAGGTAGTGGTATGTCTTTGGAGATGAGCACTGTCATGATTTGGCTTCAGAAAATGCGTGAAACAGCCGGGCGCGGTGGCTCAAGCCTGTAATCCCAGCACTTTGGGAGGCTGAGGCGGGTGGATCACGAGGTCAAGAGATCGAGACCATCCTGGTCAACATAGTGAAACCCCGTCTCTACTAAAAATACAAAAAATTAGCTGGGCATGGTGGCGCGTGCCTGTAATCCCAGCTACTCAGGAGGCTGAGGCAGGAGAATTGCCTGAACCCAGGAGGCGGAGGTTGCGGTGAGCCGAGATCTCGCCATTGCACTCCAGCCTGGGTAACAAGAGCGAAACTCCGTCTCAAAAAAAAAAAGAAAAAAAGAAAATGCGTGAAACATAAGTGCTGTTATCCTAGAGGAGATTAAGACAAGAATTTAAGCACATAAACTATAGTAGTTAGAGGATTTTAACACACAAATTATTAAAAGGACTTATTCTATTCCTTGATATATTCAAAAATCACTTGTTTTCATCTCACTTTGCCTTATAAGTCCTGCATGAAAAATACTTTGGAACTGCACAATTCATTTTGGAGAACTCAGACTGAAAATCTGCTAGAGAAATTTCAGATAAACTAATAGAATCCCTAATCAGAGGGCTGCTCAGAACCATGACTGTCTAGATATTAGAAGGGTAATTTTTTTTTTGTTTTAAATAATTAATTGAACTATTTTCAGACCAATTTGTTCCCTACTTGCCTTAACTTTAATGAGAATTTTACTTTCCATCTATGTGAAATTTGCCTTATATTACATTCATCAGATTATTCATTCTTATGGGACTTTATTTGTATTTTAGCCAACTAACATTTTTTATTTTAGCTGGTTATGGTTCTAGTCATACCAAATAATGGTCGTGATGAGTTTCATCCCTAGGAACAGGATGCTTTTATAAATCCTTTTAAATTTTACTTCCAGCCTGGAGAGCAGCTCCCTCCAGAGATGACTGTGGCAAGATCATCAGTCAAAGAGACCTCCAGAGAAGGCACCTCTTCCTTCCATACACGCCAGAAGTCTGAGGTATGTCACAATAAAATATGCCTATAAACATTATTTTTTCAACATCATTAACTGCCTAGCTTTTAAAATGTATTAATATCCACTCTCCCACAAATAAGTTGAAGTGGCTTAAAAAGTAAGTAGTTTTCCTTGTGGCATAATTCTGAGTTTTACACAATTCTAGATCGATTAGGCACTGTTCTAAATTTGGGCCAGGTGGCTCACACATGTAATCCCAGTACTTTGGGAGGCCGAGGTGGGAGGATTGCTTGGGTCCAGGAGTTCAAGACCAGCCCGGGCAACATAGCAATACCCCATCTCTACAAAAAGTTTTAAAAATTAGCTGGGTGTAGTGGTGTGCACCTATAGTCCCAGCTACTCGGGACTGAGGCAGGAGGATTATTTGAACTGGGGCAGTCAAGGGTACAGTAAGCCATGATCGCACTACTGCACTACAGCCTGGGCAACAGAGTGAGACCCTGTCTCAAGAAAAAGGCATAGGCAGTATTATCATCAATGTATGGCTTAACTTTTATGCATTTCTTTCCTGTCTCAGGGTGGAGTATATCATGACCCACACTCTGATGATGGCACAGCCCCCAAAGAAAATAGACATCTGTATAATGATCCCATGCCAAGGAGAGTTGGTAGCTTTTACAGAGGTAAGCCCACCCCCAGCATTCACCAGGTTCCCCTCTCCTCGCTCTCTTGCTATATGTACATACTGCTTTCACTGACTTTAGGCCAGCAGCCTTCTCACCTACACCGTTGCCTTCTAGCATTTCTCCCTTCCTCTGCTCCTGCTAAGTCAGGCCCTCCTGGCTTCTGAGTTGGCCTCCTTGAGTAGCCTCTTAACTGATCTCCCTATCTCCAAGGTACCCATCAATATAGTGACTGGAGTGATCCTTCTGAAGCTGTGTTCTGACCATACCACTGATTTCGTTCTATCAACCTATAGCATACTTACTGATGTTACCTGTGTGTCTGGCACTGTTCTGGCTTAGAACTTGTCAGTGAACAAAGGAGCCAAAGATCTCCACCATCACAGAACTCACATCCTCGGGAGGAGAGATAAACAGTAAACATAATAATTATATAGAGCAGTAAAAGATACTAAGTGTTACAAGGGGGAAAAAATAGAGTAAGGCATCCCATTGCCCACCCCACCCTACCCTCCCCTAATCCCCTGTTACTCACCTGTTGAGAGTCCTTTGCTGGCTTCCCATTGGCATCAGGACAAACTCTGAATTCTCTAGGATGTCATTCCAGACTTCCCATGGTCTGGGCCTTACTATCCTCTCCAGCCACTTTCTCCCTCACCCCGCAGGTTTCTCTGATGCCCAGCCTATGGGTCTGCCCAGGCTGCGCCCTCCTCTGGCCTGAAATGTGCTCTTCCTCCTGCTGGAACAGCTTGTTTCTGTCCCTTTCTTTAAGATCCTCTTCAATATAATGTCTTCCCACAGTTTGTTCCAGATGGAATGAAACATTTTCTTCTCTGTTTTGTCTATGGTACCTTGTCTGTAACTCTGATGGAACACTGACCATGTTGCACTGATTCTTTGTCTGCAGTTCTCTCTTATGAGGTTGTGAGCCCCTCAGAGACACTCAGTTCTCTTCATCTTCTCTTATTTTTATTCTTATTGACTAGTACATTGCCTGGCATAGTTTCATAAATATTTGTCAAAATAAAGAAAAATGTCAAGTGTACTTTCACAGCCTAAAATGTACTTTGCTATTTAACAGACAACTAAAACAGATGCTTTTGGGGTTGTATGAACTTAGGAGACATTGAAAGACAAATCCCTTTTAGTAACTCTGCAATAATAGATTGTAAAGCCCTTTGGCATTCCAGCACCCTGGTGGAGAAAATGGACAGCAAGCCCACAGGGCCACGAGCAAGGTCTGGGGTCAGGAGGCCTGCAAAGCCTTCAAGAGTCACCATGGCTTTCTAAGGCCTCCTAAGCCCATGTTGCCTGACTTCCCACTATTTCTGTTGTTTTAGGAGGATTGTTGGAAAGGGCCAGGATTTGGGGCTGGGGCATGGAGAACTGCTTAGTCATTTTAATTAGGAAATCCAGCTAAATAAATGCATAGAAGTGTTATTTAGGACTAAATGCATATTTAATAATTAGGCTACTCTGTTCCTTCCCTTCCAGCCCCACCTTTGGAAAAGCGTAAGGCATTGATTGAATATGCCTTTTAATGCATTTTTTTCTGATACCATGATTACACTTTAGAATTTTATGGGACTAAACTTTTAATTCAGATTTAAGTTAATTAAAACATCATAGCATACATGTGCAAAAGCCTTTTCTTCTATCACCAAAAACATTATCTCTAAAATGTACCATAGGCATGTTACTTCTATAGATGTGTGGAGAATAATATAAAATACTAATGGAGATTTAAATTAATTAGTCTTTTACTTCTGGAAACGTGGTTTTATTTTGATTGCAAAAAAAAACAAATGGGTTAATTCAGAGAAATACTTCATAGGTCTCCCTCAGTAGAGAGGGTGGTAAGAGCTTGGCAGGTGGAATTTTTAATTTTAAAAATTTCAGATACAGAAGAAAAATATTTAACTAGATGAAGCATCTGGAGACACATGTCATTTCAATGATACTACTAAGTTCTAGAGGAAGATTTAGTGGTATCATTGAAATGATAGATGTTTCCAGAATGCTTCCTGTTTTCATTCTACTGGGCAAGAGATAAGTGAAATGGTGTCATTTATCTTGGTATACAGTCTGTATATTCCTTTTGTGATGAAATTTGCAGTATATTTTTATTATAACCATTCTTAGAAATTGACAGAAAAAGTTAGTAACTATTCCCCCCAAAAGCAGAAAAGTATTTACTCACATACATTGCATTTTATCTTTATGTTCATTTAGAATTTAGAGAAAAATAATATTTTTGTAGAACTAGCTGAATTTCTGTGTACTTTAGTTTAAAAACATGAGTGATACTGCCTCCCAGGTGTCAAGGCTTAAACTGTAGTTAGTCTGTTTCAGCACACATGTGAATTACTTCAAGCTAAGAATAGATTTTACATTGTTGATCTATAATAAGAAAGCTTTAACTTCAAAGAATGCCAGAGCGGTGCAGGCAATGGTGGTAGGGGCTATGAGATTCATACTTGAAAATATCCTGGCCAGGTTCAGTGGTTCACGTCTGTAAATCCCAGCACTTTGGGAGGCCGAGGTGAGCAGATCACTTGAGCTCAGGAGTTCAAGACCAGCCTGGGCAATATGATGAAACCTTGTCTCTACAAAAAATTAACTGGATGTGGTGGTGTGCACCTGTGGTCCCAGCTACCCAGGAGGCTAAGGTGGGAGGATCACCTGAGCCTGGGAGGTGGAGTTTGCAGTGAACCATGATCATGCCACTGCACTCCAGCATGGGTAACAGCCTCTTATGCCTGGGAGGTGGAGTTTGCAGTGAACCATGATCGTGCCACTGCACTCCAGCATAGGTAACAGTCTCTTCTGAGAGAGAGAGAGAGAGAGAGAGAGAGAGAGAGAGAGAGGTGTCAGCTAACCCCTTGCCAAATTAGTGTCATAAGCAGTGGTTGAGGGAAAAGGTTCCCTGGAATGCCTTCACCCTCAGAAAACACAAAAGTTATGTGAAGGGTAGATGAGGATTTTTATGTTTGTTCGTTGTTTTATTTGTGTTAGAGAAAATGCAGTAGGATAATGTGAAAACTGCTTTGACCAAAAGAGTACATCAGCTGTGTGTGGTGGTTCATGTCTGTAATCCCATCACTTTGGGAGGCTCAGGCAGGAGGATTGCTTGAGCCTGGGAGGTCAAGGCTGCACTGGGCTGAGATTGCGCCTCTGCACTCCAGCCTGGGTGACAGAGCGAGACCCTGTCTCAAAAAAAAAAAAGTCCATCAGTGACTTACTTTTTCTTTATTCAGTGCCATCTCCACGTCCAGACAATTCTTTCCACGAAAATAATGTGTCCACCAGAGTTTCTTCCCTACCATCAGAGAGCAGTTCTGGAACCAACCACTCAAAAAGACAACCAGCATTCGATCCATGGTGAGCATTTTGTTTGTTTTTACTCTTTTTCTAATTGTAGATTTGAGAGTTCAAATAAATTCTGGATGAACTTTTTAGTGTTCTTTCTCCTGTTAGGCCTTTTTTCTCCAGATAAATTATTGAATAAGGCAAATGTGATTTTTCATTATTGGTAACTTTTTTTCAGTTTGGCATTTATATGAAATATTATGTAAGAGACAAATCTCCTGGATTATTAAATACCTGATATGCTTTCCATTGTGTTCTTCTGATGTGAATGATGACTTTTGCAGTCTCCTTTTGTTGACATTGAACCAGGTACACTTTGCTTAGCACTTGATGATGTGCATTGTCTCAATCAGTTCTCACAGTCACGCTGTGCTCCTGTGCTAGAGGTGAAGACACTGGAGCTTGGAAAAGTCGAGGAACTGGCCCGGTGCTGGACAGCCAGTAACACGGAGGAGGAAGCCAGGGTTCAAACTTAAATGGACTCCAAGTCATTCAGGGTAAAAAGAAATAGGGAAACAGTCCTTTATGCTACCATAAAAGCATAATAGTAGTGAAAGGCACAAATGATGTGGCAACTTTTCTTCCTCATTTATCTTTCTTGTGTCATAGCTAATAAATATTTAGGTAAAGAAATACAGTGTTACTAAGTTCCATTAGCAAATCTATTTGGGGAGTAAGTACTTTTAAAGAAGTAATAATAATGTAGACTACTTCTTCTCAACTATCCTGAAAGACTGCCCAGGATCTGTATGTGAAGAGTTTACGTGTACTTCGCAGAACTTTACTAAGTTTTCTACCAAGGTCATAAAATGGGACATCACTGTAATACACGGAATTTGGAATAAGACCAGTCTGTCAGAGAGTCCCTCTCTGGTGTTTGTTGCCAGAAGTAACAGAAGGGCCTTATGTCAGTACTCCTGACTCCGTGTGATGTCACAATTTGGACCCTATTGGCAGAGTTACATCAAGGTTTCAGTGTTGTTGTGCCCTATAGTGAAAATTATTTAATTATTCTTAAAACAATAATAAAAATGACTTTTTAAAAGCTGTAAATAACACTTTTGTGTGTAAGCACAATTTACATCCATTGCCTATTTATAAAATGACAGTCTTAACATTTGTAACTAAGAATTTAGACTCTGGAAATAGGATATCTTGATTGATGGCAACTTTTCTATCAGTCAGGGGACTGTGTCTATCTGTCCCTTGGTTTCCTCATGTGTGAAAAAATAGGCTAAGAATGGCACCTCCCTCATAGGGTTCATGTGATAATTAAATGAGGCAAATACATTAAAAGCACTTAGAACAGTGCCTGGCTCCTAAGTGTTTGTTAATGTTAGTGACTGCAGTTACTACTGTTACGGCATCTAACTTCAGCATCAGGTGTTCCCCCTCCACTTTGATGATAAACTTTGGTGTTCTTTCTCCATGTGACTGTTTTAAGCTCTATTGTGAATTAACGTTAAGAATACAGGTACAGCTTTACTTGCCAGGGTTGACCATTTTCTGGTGTGGCTTTGACAAGTCATGACAAAATTGCCTAAATGAAAAAAATACAGAAATATAGAAGGAATTGGGTTCTATTGGTTATTATATAATGAAGTGGTGATTATTTAAAAGAATATCAATTACAGATTATCTTAGTCCTGTGAAAATTAGGTAGGTGAGATCAAAATTAAATCCAAATGTGGATAGACAGTGTTAGTAATGTATTATTTCTGTCTTTCGATAATCAGTTTGTCTTGTTTTATGCGTGGATATGTATAGAAACCTGAAAAGAGTTGTTTTAAAAAAAAGAAAGAGAGGCTCAATTGGGATATTGAATTTTAGTTGAGTCTTCATCAGGTCATCCTTACTCTAGTATTGCTGTTATGAGACTTGAGAGTTCCAGAATTGCCAGCGATGAACTGGCTCTGTTCTTTTGTTACTCCTCATGATAATGCTGCTATGACATATTTCCTTCCTGCATCGCATCTCACTTAGTCTGTCATTAAACTTGACTCTTCTTGATTATTTTCTTGAACAAGCTCTTGAATTGGTTCATCAGGTTCTTCATATTTGAGAGAAATGCACATTTGGTAACTTACAAAAAATATGAAAGAACCTTGTTTTGGTAATATAGTGAATTGCTATTCTTTGTTGCAAGGGCGTAGAGATAGGGTCTGGCTCTGTTTCCCAGGCTGGAGTGCAGTGGTGCAATCTAGGCTCACTACAACCTCCACTTCCTGTTCTCAAGCCGTCCTCCCACCTCAGCCTCCTGAGAAGCTCAGACTGTGGGTGCACACTACCATGCCTGGCTAATTTTTGTATTTTTTGTAAACATGGAGTCCAGCTATGCTGCCCAGGCTGGACTCCAACTCCTGAGCTAAATCGATCTGCCTGTCTTGGCCTTCCAAAGTCCTGAGATTACAGACATGAGCCACTGTGCCTGATCGTGAATTTGCCATTCCTAAATTCTCTTACCTAAGTTTAGTCTGTTTTTCCTTAATAGTAGTACTTAAGATTTACTTCGGGAAGAGAATATTTGTACAGTATTCCCCTTTCTTACAATGGAAAAGTCAAGCTACTCTGTTATATTTTAAAGCAATAAATAGATATTGCAGTATGATATGCAGAGCTGTTGTTCTGGCCATCTCAATTATGTAGAACCCGCTTAAGAATCAAGAGATAGCCAAAATATCCCAGAACAAGAAAAACAGTTAATATAATAGGATTCATCGTGTTTACTAATAGGATAACATTCCCACCCTCATTTGGAGTCTGTTCTTCATTTATGTCCAGTTCTAGCAGGTGACACTGAGGATGTCAGAGCAAGAAATAGTTCAAGGTAACACTATAGTATACAGAGGGAAAAGGATCCAAGCAATAGCACTGGAGAGAAGCAGGTGGGAAAATCACACGTATCATAGATCTCTATGGAGTGTGTGTTTATAAAACAGGCAACTTCACTTTGCTTTAAAAGACAAAATGTATAAATATGTTTAGAAAGACTGCTGTCATTTGGGTTAAAAATTGATGTTTAAAGAGTATACCAAATTACTTAGAAATCCCACTAGTTGGCCAGGCATGGTGACTCACGCCAGTAATCCTAGCACTTTGGGAGGCTGAAGCGGGCGGATCACCTGAGGTTGGGAGTTCGAGACCAGCCTGACCAACATGAAGAAACCCCATCTCTACTAAAAATCAAAAATTAGCCTGGCATAGTGGCACATGCCTGTAATCCCAGCTACTTGGGAGGCTGAGGCAGGAAAATCACCTGAACCCAGGAGGCGGAGGTTGAGGTGAGCGGAGATCGCACTGTTGCACTCCAGCTTGGGCAACAAGGGCGAAACTCCATCTCAAAAAAAGAAAGAAATCCCACTTGTTAAATGAATTGCTGTAACTTGTACAATCCCAGCCTTATTTTTCTCATGAGGTTATGAATATATTGGTATCCATTAGTGCTTGTCATCATAGCTTGCAGAATTACTCTTGTAGAATTATTCACTGACTCTCTCTTTTCACACATTAGCTAACCATGCTCATCACATTGCCAGGGGAGGGGAGGTGGCAAGGAAAGTGTCACAGAGGAGTGCTTCTCACTTCTTCAGCTCACCTTCCATGCTGCTCTCAGAGGGATTATGATAAAGGTCCCATAAGCCTAACCAACCGTGATGTTCCCCCTTCACCTTCCCCTAGCTGTCAAACCTGTTCCCCTCCCCCCACAAGAGTCTGTGAGCAGCTTGATTGAGGTCAGATTTATTCTTTTATTTTTCTCTGTTTCTTCAACACCTAACACAGGGCCTGACATGTATAAAGTACTCACGGAATGTTGTTGACTGATACACTGAATTTTAATTCCTTCCTTTCTTTAGGTGAGTCTTTAGAATTATGTCTCCTCTTGGCCCCTTATGGAAATAGCTGTTATGTTAGATAACGTTAGAGTCCCATGCCTGTGTGCCTGCTTACCCCTTGTCTCATTGCCCTCCTCCCATACTGTTTTGGTCCCAGTGTGCCAGATAACTGGATGAGTAGTCCTTCTCAAAGCTTCTTTCTCTGAGATTGATGAGAAAGAAGAATTGATAAGAAAGAACTTACCCGTCTTCTCCACTGCTCCTCTTTACCCCATTCAACATGAAGCTGCTGTTTTCCAGGTGAAATCACAGGGGCCAGAATGCACAGATGAGGGAAATGACCAAATACGTGCTTACCCATATTTGGCTCAGTTCTAGCTGTCAATGTATAACTCATTCTCCATTCCTTTATACAACACAGCTTTTCAAGTGCCTTTGTTCCATCCAGCCTCTTTCCATCTGTCTCTGAATCTCTCAGCCTTTTCTCCATTCCCTTTCTCTGTTAATTAATTGGGTATATGTGTTTCTGCATAGCTTCTCCCTTATTTTGTTTTTTCTCTCTGACTTCCGTCTCTCTGTCTTTGGTGATACAAACACTTCACTCCTAGTTTTCATCCACCAGTTCAAGGGTAATTTATTTCTTTTTTCTTTTGGCCTCTGGGGTCTTTCTCTGCCTGGCTCTTAGCCTCACCATCTTGGCTCAGCCTCAATTTGAAAATATCCCGATCATTCCTCTATCCCCACCTGGGCTCTAGTTTATCCACTGCCTCTTGAAAAGCCCCTGCAGAGCGTCTTTGGCCCATACTCCCTGTGTCTTTGGCACCCAACAGTGCAACATGCAAACGGTAAACATTGAGTTTTTCTTTTATTATCCTCCCCTTCTCACTATTATCTTATTCTGTTTCATCCTAGAGAGATTCTCCTCTTACCATGCATAATCCTACTTCCTCCTAGGACTGGTATCTCAAGCCTTCATTTCCTCTTGTACCAGCATTGACATATTCCAGTAATGCCCATTCACATTCTGAGATAGCAGTCATGATGAATATGCCTTCCTTAAAGATTTGCTGGATTGGCAGAAAGCACTTTTACCCTCAGCATACCTGTGGTATTTTGTTACACTTTCATTCTGATTGGTAAAAACTTCTACCCATTAATCTGAATATTCTATTGTGCTTCTAGGTTATGTATTTGCAGATACTATTGTGGAAGGACATAGCTATTTCATAAGCATGTAATTCTTTAACCTCTAGAAGTTACAGAACATTAAAAATAGTATTGCCAGTTCCACTAGATGCTCTCTGAGGCTCCTTTCCATCCAAAGTCATGCTTTTGTGATTCCAGCAAACCCCACTCTTCTGCAGTGTTCCTTACCAATGTCAGGTGACTGAATGCTGTTTCTTAGAGTTTAGCTTAGGGCAGTCTATCTGTAAGCCCCATGTAAGAGGGTTTCATCTCCTTGATTGCAAAAGAACTTGTCACAAGAGACTTTTACCAAATTCCCAGGGCCTAGACCCAGTCTGTCACTAGGATTAGAATGCTTTTCCTAAAGTACAACACTATATTTAAAGACTCTTCTGGCTGGGTGCGGTTGCTCACACCTATAATCCCAGCACTTTGGGAGACAGAGGTGGATGCATCAGTTGAGGTCAGGAGTTCGAGACCAGCTGGGCAACATAGTGAAACCCCGTCTCTACTGAAAATAAAAAAATTAGCCAGGCATGGTGGTACATACCTGTGGGAGGCTGAGGCAGGAGACACGCTTGAACCCAGTAGGCAGAGATTGCAGTGAGCCAAAATTGTACCTCTCCAGCCTGGGCAGCAGATCAAGACACTGTCTCAAAAATAAATAAATAAATATATAGACTCTTAACTTTTTAACATTCTTACCAATTTCATCATGTCTGAAGTTTTCTAGCTTTCGAAATTATAAATGTATCATTCTGAGTTCTAATATTAGTTTTTTTATTCTTTTAATATCTTCTGATTTTATTAAAATACCTGGTGGTGTGAGTGGTACTAAGCTTAATGTCAGTATTTTTAGTTAGGAGCTTTTTTTCCCCCTCATGAAAGCTTTATATTAAAGCATTTGTCCTGTCCACTTTTTTTTTTTTTTTTAAAGAAACGGGGTCTTGCTGTGTTGCCCAGACTGTTCTAAAACTGCTGACCTCAAGCCATCCCACCTCAGCCTCCCAAAGTTCTAGGATTACTGGCATGAGCCACTGCACCTGTTCCTGCATTTTTTTTCCTTAACTATATTTAGTTTTAATAAATAGATAAAAGGTTTAATAATTAGGATATTTCCAGTTTCTGGCAATTTTTACTTTTATTCAAGATGTTTTTGTAGCAGTATTGATCTTTATGTTCAATATCTTGACAAGTCACTAATAATAAACTTGTCGAGCTGGTTTTTAAAACGTAAATAGAAAAATGAAGGTAGGTGTTGAAAATGTTTCTGCCCTTGGAGAATTACAGAGAAGCCATCCTTTAAGCTGTGTACATTTCATAATCTCAAATTCTGAGGTCTTCAACATCATGAAAAGGGTCTTGCAGCAACAGTTACAGGTCATTTGTAATAATGCTCAAATTGCTGTTTTGAGTGAGCCTGTACCAGAGGATGATCACTAACTATGGTTGATTAGATTCAGTTGGTCCTGTGCTTTTTTAGAGGCTCTTTACCCAAGTGTTTGATTCTTCCTGGCTATTTGAACCTAGTGTCATGCATTTTCAGTCTTTATTATATTTGTCACACAATGGCAAGAAAATGATTGAAAAATCAATATGATAAAAATCTCTTCTCATTTAGGAAAAGTCCTGAAAATATTAGTCATTCAGAGCAACTCAAGGAAAAAGAGAAGCAAGGATTTTTCAGGTCAATGAAAAAGAAAAAGAAGAAATCTCAAACAGTAAGTAGATGGCTAATTTCTATATATTATGACATATGTTTCTGTATTATTCAATGGCTACTTTACACTTTGCATTTGGCAATCAAAGTTGATTGTTTTCTTATTGAGACTGACATTTATGCACTGTATTATATCTCTTTCTGAAATTCTATACAACTATCCTCTCAACAGAGCCTTTTCTACATTCAGTGGAATCTCCGAGAATAAAAGAAATTTAATTTGGATGAGAGAAAAACTTTAAGCCTTTCTCAATATACTTCTTATTTATGTGGTTATATTCATGTAAAAACTTTGAAGACACAGGATTTGTTTCTCTCTGGGGGTTTAAAGATATGTGAAAACTTAGGAAATGGGTTTTGGTTTACTTTTAAATCTTGAAATTCATAAATAACCATCATTCCTTATTCTCCCCTGGCTGATTGTAGAATTCCCACGTTGACAAGTGTGTTTCTGAATTGTATAGTCACAAAGATCGTATCTGGGATTTTAGGGCTTGCTTTAGAAGGAAAACATGTTTGCCTTTTGATCACACTGTGGGATGGAATGCACCTTATCTCCTGGGAGCCCTCTGCCTGAACAAAGGGCTGACTCCATGGACCGTTCACATCACTTCACTGAACCACCCAAGCAAGGATCTTGCTGGTTAGTGATGTGAGAACCTTGGGGAAACCCGGCCTCTAGGACAGCAGCAGAAGCAGTTCTTCCCCTTGATGAGGCTGCATCCCCCTTTGCTTTATGACAACTTCAAGGCTAAACAAGGTGGAGTTAGCCATTTTATTTATTTATTTATTTTAGAGACAAGATCTCACTCTGTTGCCCAGGCTGGTCTCGAACTCCTGAGCTCAAGCAATCGGCCCACTTAGGCCTCTCAAAGTGCTAGGACTACAGGTGCGAGTCACTGTGCCTGGCCTAGTTAGCCATTTTAAGTGGTTTGGTTCTAGTTTTACTTCATACATAATTTATTCTCCTTTATTTGAAGAGGAAAAAGACGTAATCAAAATGGCCTGTTCAGATGTATTTCATCTGTAAGTTTCGTAGACTAGACAATGTTTCTGAGGCCCTTTCTATTATGAACATTATAGGATTATGACTCAATGGGAAGTAGATTAGATAGATGATCACAGCAGTGTGTATAAATAACCTGAAGTAAGCATTTTTATCTCACAGATGTTGTAGAAATGTTAACAAATACCTTCCTAGATTATCTTTCTAGATTATTCGTTCTCTTGCTTGCTCATTAAATTTATGTATTTCCTTATAAAATAAATGAGTTCATTATAGAAAATTTGAGAAAAAGAGCGTTTTAAATCTTAATACCCTATCACAACTAGTATTAGGATTTTGGTATATTTCCCCCTAGCTGTTTAGCCTATTCATGTGTTTGTGGAAAGGAGGTGTGGGGTTTTTTTTGGTTTTTGTTTGTTTTTAAGTTATAGTAATCCTTTTAGTATGGATTTTGTATTCTGGCTTTTAACAGTTTATCTACATACACAGAATATGTATGTTACTACAAAAACTTATTTTCTTGAATCCTAATGGCTGCATAATGTTTCTGAAGTATTCATTTTAAAAAACTTCGTATATTTTTAATTGAAGCTTACTTTTAAAGTGTCAAGTCAAAATGCCACTCAGAATCTACTACGTTTGTTACTTAGAATGAGTGAACAATTAGATCTGATTTAACCTAGGAATACTTAAAATATTGAAAGTGTTAATAAATTTTTATCATTGTCTGTAGAACATGTTTCTCTAATGTGAGCAGTAAACTTTGGCTACCTCCTGACCACTGGTATTTTTATTTTGTGGTTTTTGTTCTAAACCACAGGTCTTTAGCCATGGTGGGGTGATTAAGTGGTAGGAAGTAGGAAAGATGAAGGAATTGAAGGTGTTTTTGTATGTAGATTTAGATTTTGATGTCTGCTGTAGAGCAACATTAAACCTAAAGTCCCTGGCTCACTGTGGCACAAGTAGAGTATACATGTTGACTTTATTATTCAGAATTTAGTTAAATTTTAGGCATTTTAGTAGTATAGATTAGAAGTAAAAAGGAAAATATTCTCTAACATCCTCTCCACTTAAACTTTTTATTAGGCTTTCATAAGTTTCCTTTTTGATATATAAAGTAACTGCAGAATGTCTCTGTATAGGCTATAATGCCTTAAGCCTAACCAACCAAAAGTTGTTTGTACCTCTGCATCTTTTAATTAAATGAAAAATAAAATTTAAGGGCTTTGGGATTTCCAAAGAGCGCTCAGTACAGCCTTCCAAACCTCAGACTCCTAAGCCTGACATTGAGTTAACTCTGCCTTCTTTGAATGAGCATGTAAATAGTTAATTATTTTTTACCTTCAAGAACTCAGCAAAAAGAAACTAAATAGAATAAGCTTTAAAAGATTTAAGGCATTGTGGCCTTTGCATAAGATCCCAAAAGGATAAAAATCTGATGCCCAGTGTACATAGAGACTCGTGACATGTTTAAGCTGAGGTAGATCCTAAATCTAGTTGAATGTTTTTATTTGCTAGTATAGGAACTGAGCCCAAGCAAGTCTTGGGCTTGCGTAGAAGCCCAAAATCACATAATCACTTGGGAGAACTAGGACTGGGCTCTCCTAAATACCAAGTCCAGGCTCAGTTTATTACCATGGACCCGCCTCTCTAGAGAGCCTCTAGGAGCTCTTCTCTGGCCTCTTTAGCAATGCAAGTTAAACTCTTCCTCAGGGTTCCTTGTCATTGGAACAGGAAAATTTATGGGATGTTTTACTCAAATCTCTTTTTATGCACACCCTTAAAAGATGACCTGAAGGCCGGGCGCGGTGGCTCAAACCTGTAATCCCAGCACTTTGGGAGGCCGAGGCGGGTGGATCACAAGGTCAAGAGATCGAGACCATCCTGGTCAACATGGTGAAACCCCGTCTCTACTAAAAATACAAAAACATTAGCTGGGCATGGTGGCACGTGCCTGTAATCCCAGCTACTCAGGAGGCTGAGGCAGGAGAATTGCCTGAACCCAGGAGGCAGAGGTTGCAGTGAACCAAGATCACGCCATTGCACTCCAACATGGGTAACAAGAGCAAAACTTCATCTCAAAAAAAAAAAAAAAAAAAAAAGACGACCTGAATACCTGAATACCTTCACATACATTCTGGTTCTCTGACAATTGAAATATCCAAAACAGGGAAAAGTCATGCCAAAAAAATAATTCTGTATTGTAAAGGTGCCTGCTTCGACTCAAGTAAATCTGGAAGCTGCCTTGGGAAATCTGGCTTCAGTTACATATCCAGAGTTACATAAGCCCTCAGAGCATATGGTGACTTTGCCAACTTGGTAATTGTATCCTAGTTAGTTAGTATCTCAACTTGTGATAATGCTTCCTTTTAAATACTGAAATTTCTGTTTCTTCCATTTGAAAACCAGTATTCTGAATTATGCTAGATGTTTTCCGTTGGATAAATATTTCTAGCAGTATAGAACAAGGCCTCTTACTCAACATTAGTATCCCACCACAGTGATCAATACCTCTTCCTAGCAATGTTTTTTGTCTTAAAAGTTGACCAAATTTGAAAGAGGTTTCCAGTATGTTGGGGTATTTTTTCTCCTAATAGGCAAATTACATGGTAGAATTTTTACTTACTGAAGTCCTCTCTAGCAATTAGGAGAAGATTGAAGTGTATCAGTAGCTCTTTAGCACAATTCTTTTATAGTCATATTTCTGATAATAAGTAAAATTATTTAATGTTTATAATGTGAGTAGGTGTGTCTAGGTCTCTCAGCATTCCTACTAGAGGTATTGATCATGATCTTACACTATATACTTGGAAGAAGTTTGTGCTTGTCTTGAATTTGCATTATTGACATCTTCACGTTCAGGTGAGAACTGACACAGAACCTCTATAGATGCACAGCACTGAGATTCTGTCAAGGACTGTTAATATTTAGCAATTTGAGGGCTTCCAAGGGCTAGTAGTTTCAATAAAAGCACTTTTTTTTTTTTGCAATTAGTTTATTTGTATCTTATATTGCAGACAGATTCCACCAACGGGGAGAATCCAAGCATCAAGAAATCCCTCTTTCCTCTTTTTAATTCAAAGAATCATTTAAAGCATAGTTCTTCTTTGAAAAAGCTTCCTGTAGTCACTCCACCCATGGTACCCGTTTTTATGTATGGTAGCCCTGAAAACTGCTCCAGTAAACTTGTTTTACTGATGACAACAGCATGTCTTATTTTCATGAGGTCATATTCTCTTTATGCTAGTTAAGTATGTGAGCCAGTTCTATAAATTCATGGGGATATAAATTTGTTGCCATTCTTCTGAATCAGTTAGGAAGTTGAAGCACAAATTCTGTGAAGCAAACAAACTAGTGAAAGGCTAGTTTGTCTTGTGTGATTAGCCAATTATTGGCAGATAACATTTATGAAAGCCTGTATTTTATGTAAGGAATTCTATTAAATTTACAGTTAACAAATGTCTTTGCATTTGACTCACAGAGTTTGTTAACACTTGATTGGCAATTTGTTTTTTTGAAGCCAAGTTGAATTGACCAAATTGAATGAGGTAACAGGCTCCATGAAAAAACAGCTTGTTTGCTTGCCTGGCTTGAGCTTTTGCTGGTCACTTAGTTTAAAACCAGGGCTTTTGCTTGGCATTTGACATTACTCTTCTGTGTTCACCAAAACTGGTGAATAGACCAATTGCATTCATCTGGAACTTGTGGCACAAATTTCCAGCATTTTCTTAGTACATAATGCTAGATCCAGATTTATCCGGCAATGGTTTGGGAATATGATCTAAACCATACTTTCTCACTTTGCTATCCTTGAAACCCTACCAGACTTCTTTGGCACTACCAAGTACATTGTTTGGATCATTTTCCCAGCAGGAAAAAAGTTCTGTTTTATTGAACTGGTTCATAACCTAACTGCAATATGGAATGAGGATACGACAGCAATTCCTGGTACAACCCAATTTAACTGCTCTCTCTTACAGCGACTAAAACTAACAGCATGGGAATGCTTTAAGGGTTGAGGTTTAACAACGCTGCATGACATCTGCCAATTTTTCCTAATGCAGGGAAAATTATTAAGACGGCAGAAGAATTTAACTAGCATCACTTGCATTGTGAACATTGGGAGAGATTGGGGTTCTTTTTTTACTGGGTTATTTGAGTTTTGGTTTGGTTTGCTTTTTAGTTTGGTTCTTCTCTTGGGTGTGGTTGCATATCTTAATTAGGCTTGTTAGTGAGCTTATTGAATGCTTGTCCATATTTTGCTCTAGGTACCCAATTCCGACAGCCCTGATCTTCTAACGTTGCAGAAATCCATTCATTCCACTAGCACTCCAAGCAGCAGACCAAAGGAGTGGCGCCCCGAGAAGATCTCAGATCTACAGGCCCAAGTAAGTGGATCCTGCACTACTCCTAGACTCTCCAACTCTGCAATAACTGTCCTGAGGAATTGAGAGGGCATGGTAGAGGAAACTTAGCCTCTCAATGTTACAGTAAGGCTGAGCGCCTCCTCAAAATAGACCCTTAGTTATAGCCAGATGCATCTTGTGAGCCAGAATGAATCTTGCTTCAATGACCTATGTTCTACTGGGAAAAATGCAAGCTCCCTTTAGCCTTCAGCTAGCTGGAGGCAATTGAAGATGTAGTCCCAGCCCACAAATACAGCCCAGGAAAGAGATGAACTGTGCTAAAGAACCATAATTCATGGTAAAAAGTGAAGCATGCCATAACATTTCAGGCAGGATGAGCAGAGATGGTGGGAAGATTAAGGTTTCATTAAAAGTAGTAGTGTACAAATTGAAAGGTATACGTTTTCTTGAAAGAATATTTTAACTCCTGAAATCTCTACTATTTTTGACAGGAAACAGGGAAACAGTTGCATTAGGAACTACATATTAGACTGTACTGTGTAGTCACATTTATCTTTCATAGTGGAGAAATAAGCAGAAACTGAATCAGTAAATTTTTCAGGTATCTGAGGTTTATCTCCTTTAAACAACTATTTTTGTTGGGAATTTTATAATATTTTATCTTTTCAGTATCCCATAATGAGCATTTTGGTTTTTGATACTGAGTATTTTATAAATCCTTTATTCTTCTGCACTATAATTTCTGACAATCCTCCAAAGCTTTTGAAGCTACAGGATTACTTATGTCTATGATCTCTTGTGTCACAGATTTCTGTGATTGGGGGAGGGGACTACTTTTTTGTTGTTGAGATAAGGTCTCACTTCCATTGCCGAGGCTGGAATGCAATGGCACAAACTCAGTTCACTGCATCGTTGACCTCCCTGTGCTTAGGCAGTCCTCCCACCTCAGCATCCCAAGTAGCTGGGACTACAGATGTGTGCCACCACGCCTGGCTAATTTTTTGAATTTTTCGTAGAGACGGGGTTTCGCCATGTTGCCCAGGCTATCTCCAACTCCTGGGCTCAAGCGATCCACCTGCCTCTGCCTCCCAAAGTGCTGGGATTACAGGCATGAGCCACCATGCCCAACCTCTGTTTACTCTTTTGTAACTGTAAGCTATTGCATAGAACTGCTCACAGAAGTTCCCCATATTCCCATTCTATTTGCCCCAACTATTTATATATTCTGCTTCTAACATAATATAAGCTGGGGGTGGTAGAAGCATAGAGAACCAGATATCCAAGTTTATTGGATATATATCCAAACTACGGAGACAAGCCTCTGCTTCTTTGTTCCCAATTTAAAAAAAAAAAAAAAGAGAGAGCTTTAGAACTTTGTGAGACCGTTTTGCCAAGAAGCTCTTGATCACTCAGGCTGGAGTGCAGTGGCAAGATTATGGCTCACTGCAGCCTTGACCTCCTGGGCTCAAGCCATTCTCCCACCTCAGCCTCCAGAGTAACTGAAACAACAGGCACATACCACCATACATGGCTAGTTTTTTAAGTTTTTGTAGAGACAAGGTCTTGCCTTGTTGCCCTGGCTAGAAGCTATTTTCAAGTAACGTTATTTCTCTTGCTGAATGCAGATTATTGTAACTGCTTGATAGTTACATGTGGTCAAGGCTATAATAATCACCAGGAGTTTCATTGTGTTATACAATTTAATTATTTTTAAAAAGCCACTTTTGAGCACTTAGAGTGTACAGTGTACTGTGCTACCTCCTCTAGGGAGCACAAAGCTTTCTTGGAGAGACTTCGGAATGAAGATGGAGAATACTTTCCCCTAAAACAATATCTGCTTGAGTCAGTTCTGAAGCCATTTACCTTGGGTTTCAGTGCTTAGTGCCTTCAGATCTTGTAATGTTCCTTGAGACTGTCAACATTTTATTCAAACTTTGCTGAGCCCTTAAATGCATGTCCCTTATACCATGACATTTACAGCAAAGGTACTCTGAGGATTGGCCCCAGAGGGGTCCCAAGGCTAGGGTTGTAGCCCAAGTGGCCAAGTCCAGCAGTCATGATTGGCTGTGAATTTCCAAGTGCTTGCCTTGTCTCTTCTGAGATCAAGGAAGAGGAGATTGAGCCATCCTTCCAACGTTGAGGAGCATGAGGCTCAGGAGTTGGCTAGTGAGCAGACCGCTACGAGGCTCCTGCCCTCTGCACTGAAGTCAGTCTCCCTACATGATGCAGCACCTAGGGGTGTCCAGCTACACAGTAGACAGGCAGGCAGGGTGGACCACTGGCAAGCCCATGTTAGCAATTGAAGGCCTCCTGTGAATGAATTCTTTAGATAGTTATATTGGGGTTTTGCATGTTTCTCTGTGCTTTGCATTTTTAATGCCCAAATGTTACCCTCCCCCCTCAAAAAAAAAAAAGTGCAGCAAGGGAGCATTTGAATTTTGCAATATCGAGAGAGGGAAGTCAGGGAGATAAGAACAGAAAGGGTTATACAACTTGTAGTCGAGTACGTTGCTAACTAACTAAAACATTCCATATTTTCAGCTTGTCTTGCTGCTAGATATGTCTGTGTACCTAAGTTGTAGCTGGTGAAATATAAGTGGAAGCATTGTGTGGAGCCTTTGGGAAGTCTTCTCAAAACAGAGAAGCATACACTTTCTTTTGCTCTTTCTCCTTCCTGCTGGTTGAAGCATGAGGTCCCCTGGTTAGAGATAGGATGCAACCAGGTAGATGAGCCTGGGCCTTTGACTGGCTGCTGTACCAGTTCTATATGTCTTATCTAGATTTCTAGGCTTTTCCATTAAAGACTAATACAATCTTGTTTGAAGAAAACTGGAAGCACAGATAATGGCTGGACTGTCTCCTCCTCGCACAAGCTTGCCGTTCCTGGCCACGCCCAGTCACCTCAGATCTAAGCCCCCTTCCCTCCCAGCCTTATGGTCGCTCTAACTTGAATCCCGTGTGTATTCTCATCCTTTCTTTCAGAGCCAGCCATTAAAATCACTGCGTAAGTTGTTACATCTCTCTTCCACCTCAAATCACCCAGCTTCCTCAGATCCCCGCTTCCAGCCCTTAACAGCTCAACAAACCAAAAATTCCTTCTCAGAAATTCGGATTCACCCCTTGAGCCAGGCCTCTGGTGGGAGCAGCAACATCCGGCAGGAGCCAGCACCGAAGGGCAGGCCAGCCCTCCAGCTGCCAGGTCAGATGGATCCTGGTTGGCACGTGTCCTCTGTGACCAGGAGTGCCACAGAGGGCCCTTCCTACTCTGAACAGCTGGGTGCCAAGAGTGGGCCAAATGGGCACCCCTATAACAGAACAAATCGATCACGAATGCCAAATCTGAATGATTTGAAAGAGACAGCCTTGTAATTTGTGCTGGTGGGGGGAGGGGTGGGCAGGCAAGCCAGTGGGGAGGGGTGGGGAAGGGTGGGCTGGGCTTGGGGCATGGGCCGGGCCGGGTGGTGAGCCAGTATTTTCAGCTTTATGAAGGTGTGTGCAATATGCATGTGTGGGGCCGTCGAGCTCCTTGCGGCCACAAATGCTAGTCAGGGATCTTAGAGCCACAGGAGTCCCTTAGGGATCGCCACTCCCCACAGGTCTGTGTGAGAATGGATAGAGTGTGCCATTGAGGAAGAAGAAATTCTTGCCAGTTTCTCCCCCTTACATTCCAGCTTTAGTGCAATCTCTGTTGAACTTGGGAACGCCAGGATGTGTCCTGGCACTGCAAGGGATAGGAAAGTCGTGTTGACCGATGCCCTTACTACATATTTTTTTCTGCCTAGACTAAATGTGGGGTTTATTGTAATCTAAGAGTATCCCTTTGAAGGGTTAGCAGATGAACTGTATGTCTTAAATTGTTTTCTAAACTTCCATATTTGATAGGATTTGTAACATTTATTTATAATTAATATTGTACTGTTATAATCATATCTTTTATGTTATAATGTAAAGTTATTTTGAGCTGTTTGAAACATTGTGAAGCAGTGGGACAGCTACAGTAGTTTCTATAAAAACTAAACAGTAACATTTATATATTGCATCAGGAGTATTTTATTCTATATATAAATATATATATGGTAAATATCTGTTTTATAAATATATTCATTTAAAGAAAGTATCGTTATGACACTATCTGCCATATTTTTATACATTTGTGATATGAAGTGAGTATTATACTTCTAATAAAGGGAGTTGAATCGTGGCTACATGTGACTGTAACAGTATGAACCTTGCTCAACTTTTAGGCCCCAGCAGTAGCCTCTAGACATGATTCTTGGTAGCAGATGAAGTGCAGCATCTCTTTCCAAACCTGCAGGGGAGAAAGTAATTGGCCAGTGAGAATTCCAGCAGGCCTGGTTTCCGTCCTCACACTCTTGGTTCCTGTTTGTGTCCAGGGACATTACTTGCACAAGGGGAGAATAGATTGAGGTGTTACTCATGGGTCTTTGTAGAGAGAATGTGCTCTTCCACTTAGCATTAGTGTAGAGCATAGACCAAAGATTTGCCAGTGAACATTCCTTGTTGTGAGGTCATAAGAGGTACCTGTCTGCAGATCTTGCAAAACAGCTCTATGCTCCTGAATACTGTCCACTGTCCTGGAGACTCTTGGCTGATGAGGCGTGAGATGCACGTGTAGCATTTCTATTTCTGAATGCTTTTTTTGCTATTGCTCTCTCCAGTACCATATTTAAAAGGCTCCTGGAGCGATTCCAGAGAGAGAAAAAATTGCTGTATCCATTTTTTTCTTCCTGGGGCTGTCCATTTATGACAAGATTTTCATGCACACCTGTTACATACACACCCCCATCAGAACAGGACCTATCTTCCCCTCATCTGATCTCTTTCAGCTCCCATGTTACTCCTGAGTATCATCAAATTTAGCCATCAAGTGTTACCCTCCCATGCCTCTGGGCCATCCTTGAGGGAAATCACCTCAGCACCATCATCTATCAGTAGTAGTAGATTTTTGGAAGTAGTCTCTTAGCAATAATACTTTTAAAGGTCCCTCCCACTCCTCAAAGAGATAACGTCTCATATTTATTACTTGTCCTCAAATTCTGAGTGTCAGCCCCTGAATCAAGTCAGCTATAATCGAAATGTGCTGTTACTGTTAACCCTCCCCCCAGATTTTGAGCATCATAGCTCTGATGATTATGAAGATTATAAAGACTAAGGTCCTAGTTTCCTTGAAGCTTAAATTGTGCATATATTGCATTTTTATATAAATACTATAATGTGTATTGATTATCTAGATAGGTCATTTTAAGGTGCTTTTCATTTAATTCTAATAAGTATAATAGGCACTAAAATGAAACTCGACTGGGTACTATTACTGAAATAATTTGACTCAAATCAGTAGTTTTGCATGCTCTTTAGTTCTTTTTCTGTCTTACTTATTTTACCAGTTCAGTGGGTAGCTCTGAATTCTGGCTTTTCCCAGGCAGCTGCTTGATGATACAAGTGAGGTGGACCATCAGCAGTTTTGCCTGGACACTAATGACTTTAAAAGGGTGTGTATTTAACTCTTCTTTTTCATACCTTGTATTCCCCCTTGCAAACCAGAAACTACACTTTTTTCTCTGGAAAGACTTCTCACTGTGCTATGCGCTTAGGAACTGCACGGTCCCGTTGCCATGCTGTGGCATTCGAGGCTCGTTGTCACCTAGGGGCTGGTTTCCCATGTTGTCATCCTTGTTAACACTGGGATCTCAGATGTTTGCAGAATATTTCTATTCATAGTGGTTCTTCAAAGAAGGGCTAGCATTTTTGCCTTCTACCTAGAGCAAAGTAAACCTAATTGCTGAAGAGTCAATACGTACTTTTTGTACATTCCCAGATTTGAGCCAGAAAATACCTACAGATATCTACAAATGTTTTCAACCAGTGTTTTCGAGGTAGCTCTTTAATCCTCTTCTCAGCTTTTGTCTGTTCTGACTTTTCATCCAGTAAGCTGTAAGTGAACTACAATCTGCATTTCTAGCATGCAATTCTCTTCCTGCTCACGAAGGGGGATGATAAAGTTTTCTCGCCGACCTTATGGGCCCTCTCTTAGCTTTTAACTGTTGTTTTCCCCTCTTGTTGATGAAGAATTATTGACATCACAAAGATTGCCATCCGTGATAGAAAGGACTTAATTTGAAGTCAGAAAATTTTGCCATTTCTTTAGGAAGGGGAATTTATGACATCCATGTCCTATTATTGGCCCTAACTTCCTAAAGAAGAAAAAGGGTGAATGAAAGCTTATGTTACTTTTATGAAAGTATCACTGATTTCCTTTGGAAAAGAAACTCTGCTTCACTGTTTTTCTACCTTTATTTCTCTGCCGTCCTCGTTTTTCTTCTCTAAAAGTTCTAAATAAATTTTAACTGAACCTTGTTTGGTCTTGCTCTAAAATTTAGCCTCTTTCTAGAGCCCAAGACCGAAAGGGAGTGCTTCATGCTGAGGGGCTCAAGTGAGCTGACTCTACAGCAGTGGTTCTCAACTAGGGGCAGATTTGCCCCTAAGGACATATTTGGCAATGTCTGGGGGTATTGGGTTGTCACAGCTGGGGGTGATGGTATGCTACTGGCATCTAGTGAGTAGAGGCCAGGGGTGCTGCTAAACATCCTGCCATGTCCAGGACAGCCCCCCAAACAAACAGTGGTCCAGCCCCAAGCACCACTAGTGCTGAGGTTGAGAAACCCTGCCCTACACCATCCAAGCCCACCAGTCTGCAGAGCTTAGCTCTGCCCTTGTTCTGTCCAGGCTGCAGTACTGCAGGTATGAATTCTTCAATATCACATTCTCTTAAGAGTCTTCTACCACTGTTCCTGAATCCTTGGAATCCTGTTGTTCGTTTCCATTGTCTTGGGCCTGCTAAAAGGTGCATACTTTGGGAGGAGACCAGAGTTACTTTATAGGTGTTGGAGAACTTAAATTCTAGGTTAGCATCCTTAGAAAATCTTTCATAGAGCCACGAGGCTTATATTTAGAAGCAAGCAACAGCCTGGCAGATTGGCATGATTTTTACCAACTGCTCAAAGGCATCCATGGCTTTTAGCTGTGTCTCCCAAAGGAAAATGTCTTTGTTTTTTATTCAAGTCATTTAATAGCTCTTTACATATATTAGCATATGGCAGACCAATTAGAAGCAAAAAAGTCTGTATTGGTGGTTGTGATGTGGCTGTTATAGAAGTATTTGTGCTGTATGCTTTGGTTAAATCTGTTTTAAAACATGCTTTAAGATTCACCTTACACAGTTGTACTTTAATTCTAAGCTCAGAGCTATGCTGGTCAGTCTTTAGTCATGCCGTGTATTATAAAGTATGTTGTGGTTGTAGAGTTAGCCAGTTTAGCATGTTCCTAATCTGAAAATTAGTGGACTATACTAGGAAATGCTATCCCATTTTCCCTTTCCAGCCCCTCTTAGTTAAGGTCATAGTATCCTCACTTCTTAAACTAGTCTTTAGAGTAAATATGGAAAAAAGCCATTTATTTTCTTCTAGCCATGTATTATTGAGAATGACTCATAGTGTACAACTTTTTTTCAAAGGCCAGAGGATTACTTTTCAAGTGTGTAGAAAGATCTGTCCATTTCTGTTCACCTAGGACCTGGTGGTGACTGAACTCTTTCAGCAAGGGCAGTGGCTCAGTGTGATTCAGTGCTGGAGCTCAGCTGGGACTCAGTAAATCTGCACGTTCTCTGCTGGTCAGAACATATTTCCTGGAGAGCATTGCTTTTCTGCCTAGAAGTTCATTACCTCCTGCATGATAGTGGGATATTGAGCTCTCTGTGGGTTCTAAGATCCACAGACTCATACTTTTGTGAACTTGGAATGCGGTAGGGTACACTGAACCAAGTCAGAAAATAGTGAGATATTTCCTTGCCTCCTTCAGTTCATCACTAAGAAAGTGTGTAGGCAGAGAAAACTTATTTATAGTTTTAAAAAAATACAATTCTGGTTTTGTTTTGTTTTGTTTGAAAGGGGACATAGTACAAAGGTACAAAAAAAAAAAAAAAAAAAAAAAAGATAGTACAAAGGTTTTAAGTGTCCTGTCACGAATTCCCAGGGCCAGAATCTCACAAGAAAGTCCTCTCAGACTTAAAAGCCTGGCTTACAAAAATAACCAGAAACCAAACTTGTAAGGAGTTATGATTTCTTCCTTTTGCTTCTTGACCAACTGAGATACAGAATATCTTGAGGTCTGGTTCAGCCAATGAAAAATTTTGTCTCTGAAACGATGAGTAAGAAACCGTGCAAGAAAATGAAATCCCTCATCTATCTGCATACACTCGATGTGGGAGAAGTGGGGTGGCTAGGAAACTCTGAGCCTGCTGCCCCCTTTGATTCTATCTTTTCTTTGTGAATTGAATGTACTATACAAATGGTAGGCTTTCGTGTGAGCCAGTTACTACATGAATCT